TATATATATGTGTGTATATATGTATATGTGTGCATGTGTGTATGTATGTGTGTGTGTTTATTTTGGAGTTATGGCCCCCCCTGGAGAAAACTCCACTAGCCGTCACTGCAGTAGAGTAACTACGAGTGAGGGATTTAGCTGTCATTAACATAGACATATATAACATATATTTTATAGACATATATACATAGACGGCCCGTTGAGTGGGCTGGACCTTCTGCAGCGGTACGTTGGAGCGTCCACCATTTTACATGTGGCAAAACTGCCAGTCAACTAGCACTCCTAATTAAATAAAGTCGAAACGTCATACACTCCAACAACAACTCGTTTGTTTTCACATCTCGGCACTAAGAAAGCAAGAGCAAGAAAAGGCTCAAACCCCAGTTTATTATAACAAATGTACAAGAAATAACAGTAAATAAAAGGCATGAAGAAGACAAAACACGGTCGACTAGGATCTATACACAGCGGACAGAGTTTCTTTCCTTCCAGGTTCGTCATGAGGTAAAAAGGAAACTTTTAACACTTTAGTCATTGGCACCGACCACCGCCAGAGCTTTAATCCTCCCCATTTCTCTTCCTGTATTGGTCATTTCATAACCAGGAGTACATCTCTTATCTGACTCAACCCACAACTGTTACTTTCTGGGGTTGCCATGTTTTAGCTAAAGGCTCACTGTTGTGGAGTTTGCGTGAACTGCAAGCATCGCGAATAGTTTTCCCGTCTTGGAAGTCATGTTTCGGCTGCGGCCTGTATCCAAAGTGCGGTGAACAGAGCGGTTTATCCTCCGGGAAGACCACGCCGAGAGGAACGGACATATTTTACAAACAAGCTTCAGCGCTCCCGTAACGTGTCTTTACTTGGTCCTGCGCATGCTTTCACCGCAAATGACGAGATGTCCTGTGGCGTCTACAGCACGACTTCCTCAGCAGTCGCTTTACAGACTTTAAAAAAAACATGCTCAGATTTTTCTGGTTAAAAAAAACGTGCCAACATTTTACTTCCCTACAAAAGAAACAAATCTATAAGAAACTCATGCAATCCCAAAGAATTGCCCAATATATATTTTTTTCCCATGATTACAAAACGCCTCTAAATATTTTACAGCAAAAACTACAGATATACACACTGACTGGTTCCAGCAGATCTCACTGGTTTGGCTTTTAAAGTCCGTTGCCCTCCTAAAAACTGCAACATGAAACTCCTAAACTTGTTGTCACACCTTAACTTTTATGATTTTCATCTGAGTTTGAAATCGGTGTCAAAATACTAAAAAAATAAGAAGTAAATAAAGACGTGCAGGAAGATCCAGGAGTATAAACAAACAAAACAACAACAAAAAAAAGGAGTCTTGTTTTGGAATTGAGTGTTTAGTCGATAAAAGCCCGGGTCTGCAGGTTTTTTTAACCGAACATGAAGGACAATGTACACAGACTATAAGACACTGTACATGTTTGCTCAAAGAGACCAACAAAAGGTTTAGATGTACAAAAAATACATTATAAAAACAAACAAAAAAACATAAAGTAACAAATGAAATCGAACACTAGATGAAATCTGAGCCTGACCAGGGGGCAAAAAGTTGTATCTTTCTGATTTTCTTTAAAACAGGGAGTTCATCCCCGGCGCCGTTCAGATAATGACACATGAATATAACGTACAAAAACCCACTCATTCAAATACAAAAGTTCTGGGAGTGAAAAATACACGTTGGTCACTTAATATCCAAACAATAAAAAAAGGTTTACTATATACCGATGGAATACTGATGGTGGAAACGCCAGGGTAACGTTTCCATCTACAACACCAGTGTGACCAGCAGCCTCCCAGATGTGGTTTGAAGGTCATCTTACCCAGTATGGGACTTAGGCATAAAAACAGATAAAAACTTTCAAATTAAAAAACGAAGAGCCTGTAGGAGGGTGTCGTTGGTACTTGTGTTGTGTCTAAAACAGGTCTCTCTTGTAAATGAGTCCTCATGACTCAGTGAGACTAACCTGGATAAATAAAGTTGAATGAATGAATGAATGGGTGGTTAGTTTAACACAAAGACTCTGTGAAAATCCATCCATCATCTTTACCCGCTTCTTCCTTTTTGGGTCATGGAGGTCACTGTGTGGGAGGTGGGGGACGCCCTGGACAGGTCTCCAGTCCATCACAGGGACACACAGAGACAACCATTCACTCTCTCACTCACACCTGGGGACAATAGTTACCAGTCAATCTAACATGCATGTTTTTGGTCTGTGGGAGGAAACTGGAGTACCCGGAGAAAAGCCACGCATGCACGGAGAGAACATGCAAACTCCACCCAGAAAGTCCCCTGACCTGGAGTAACCTGCTCACCGAGGCGGCAGCTCCACCAACTGCACCACCGTGCCGCCCGTCCGTGAAAATGATTTAGAAATGTATTCAGATCTCGTTAAACCTTCATGATTAGTGAACTCTTCAAACATCACAGCGTTTTTTAAATTAATAAACATGTTTATTTAGAAGGCGGCACGGTGGCGCAGTTGGTTGAGCTGCTGCCTCTCAGCGAGGCTGCTGGAACGAATCCCGGCCCGGGGGCCTTTCTGGGTGGAGTTTGCATGTTCTCTCCCACACACCAAAAAACATGCATGTTAAACTGACTGGTAACTCTAAATTGTCCCTGTGTCCCTGTGATGGACCGGAGACATGTCCTGGGTGTCCCCCGCCTCATGCACAGTGAGTGCTGGACATGTGCACCAGTGACTTCCGTGACTCGAAAAGGAAGAAACGGGTGAAGATAATGGATAATTTAGAAGATCCATCTAACTTTATAAACTAGCCGTAGCTCGCAGCACGAGCTTTCCTCAAACTAAATGAAACCAGCATTCCTTGAAGCAATGCACATCACCCGCCGCCTTTCATGATAAACTTTACGTGATCCGTCAGCTCTCTGAGGACGTGCTGGGGATGACTCTCAGCTACCAACACACATTTTAGCTCATGATCCGTTAAAATGACCGAGTTGAAGAAACTTTGCTCAGATGGATCGGCCTGATGTTCATCCAATGATTGTTTCATTAAAATCCGTCAGTTAATGAGATACTGTCATGCTAACTGACCAACACATAAACAGAATTACATGATCACCCGCACGTCATGGCAGCAGGTGATAACTGAAGTAAGAAAAGGTGACAGATTTAAAAATACGCCCTCCAACAGCAGCCAGAGTGAGTCAGAGTCCAAAACAAAGAGTTAAAAACTGAAGAGAAAGTTTTTCTTCCATTTTTAAAGATTTTTTTTCTTGTTTCTATAATCCTTGTGGGATAATGCACTGCCTGGCCAAAAAAAAAAAAAGTCTCCACCTGGATTTAACTAAGCAAAAAGGTACGAGCCTCCTATTGGATAATTACTGCACGGGCGATCATCTTTCAGCTGCAACGAGTTATTTAACCCCAACTGGTGCAAAGAGTTGCTTCTTGTTTCTTAAACAACCGTGTGGAAAGACACGTCGTGTGGAAAAGATGTCGGTCTGTTTGAGAAGGGTCAAATCATCGGCATCAAGCAGAGAAAACATCTAAGGAGATTGAAGAAACTATTAAAATTGGGTTAAGAACTGTCCAACGCATTATTAAAAACTGGAAGGATAGTGGGGGCTCATCGTCTTCAAGGAAGAAATGTGGCCGGAAAAAAATCCTGGACGATCGTGATCGGCGATCACTTAAACATTTGGTGAAATCAAATGGAAGAACAACAGCACTCAGGGCTGTGTTTAATAGTGAAAGTAAGAACATTTCCACATGAACAGTGTGAAAGGAACTCAAGGGATTGGGACTGAACATCTGTGTAGCCTTAAGAAAAAACACTAATCAGTGAGGCTAACTGGAAAAATAAGGTTTCGATTTGCTAGGGAGAATAAAGATTGGACTCTGGAGCAATGGAAGAAGGTCATGTGGTCTGATGAGTCCAGATTGGCCCTGTTCCAGAGTGATGGGCGCATCAGAGTAAGAAGAGAGGCAGGTGAAGTGATGCACCCTTCATGACTAGTGCCTCGTCATCAATGCAAGATCTTGGTGAAAATTAATGAAACACTGGATGGAAATAAATGTGACATTGCAGAAGCTTCTCGAAACAATGTCACGGTGAATGCATGATGTAATCAAAGCTAAAGGTGGTCCAATGAAATATTAGTATGCAACCTTTTTTTTTGGCCAGGCAGTGAATTAAAAACTGGTTCATTCACTGAAGAGTGATGAAACTCAACGGTTAAAAAGTATCTGTTGTATTTCATGAAGTAAAAAGTATCTGCTCCAGGAGGCAGGACCTCCTACAAGGATGTGAATAAGTTTAGTGTCCAAGATAACGAGCTCAGAGAGTCTCTGTTCAACTTTAATAAAACTCATCTTTGTGGAAAACTAATCAAACCCGCTGCAGCTTTAAGGACGTTTTGAACCTAAAGGCGGTTACGGGACGACGTTCGATTCAGTCAGATTCAAACCGACAACCAACTTCAGCCAAAATATAAAAAATATTGGTGTCAAATTTCCACGTCGATGTTAGTGCTTAATCAAACGGCTTAAAAAAAATCAAAACGTAGATGAGAAGTGAAATGGCGACACCTCTGAAGGTTTGGCAGTGGAGCTGGACGATGCGAGCGGGCTGTTAGTGGTCAAACAGGAAATGACATGTTGGCGCCCTCAACGGGCGGCAGAGTCCCACAGGAACAGCATTAGACTGGTGACTGGTGACTGGGACCCAGTTTTTACAGATGGCAAGACCATCCAGAACCAAGCTCCACGACGAAAATAACAAAAAGGGAGTGTTTGGCAGGGGAGGGAATAATAAAGTTAAGCAATATAAAAATACAATACCACAAAAAAATGGAAACAGTACACGGTTTTTGTTTTTACAACTGTTCGTTATTGCAGACGTAGTCCACGAGGTCTGTGACTCCCAATAGGTCGTCTTCGTCGTCATCCTGCGCCGACACTTCCTGCCCCACCACACCGTTCGGTGCCGTGGCAGCAGCTGGCGTAGAACCGACGGTTTTGGGTGGTTCTAGAGGAGGGGTGCTGCCCGGAACAGCAGGGGCGGGGCGGCTGACGAGGCCGTCGAGGCTCTTCGTCTCGTTCTGTCCGTTTGTGGACCGCAGCTCGACCTGATCGCAGTCCAGCGGGTCCGTTCCCTTTGACTCCTCCTCTGCAGGCTTCTTCTCCTTCGGTTTTTCCTCCTGCGCCTCCTCGTCGGAGTCGTCCGAGTCGATGCGGTTCACCCGTTTGCGGATGGGACGATCCTCCGAAGAGGAGGAGGAAGAGTCCGAGTCCGAGTCGTCCTCTTCGGAGGCTCGCCTGCGTTTTAGTGCTAGTCGCCTGCGCCGCTGCCGAGCATCTTCTTCCGAGGAGTCCGCTCGTCTCTTTTCTCTCCGATCCCTCGAGTCTTCTTCAGAGTCTCGAGAGAAACTCGCTGGAAAAACAAAAACAGGGTAGTTTAACTTCCAGAGCCAAAAGGTCTGTACGATGACATCATGGTACACCCCGTCTTTTCAGCACGAATTAGATCAACGTTTAGTTTTTAACCATCGGAGCAAACACTGTGTGGTTCTGACCGTCACTGTCGGAGCTGTCGTGATGCCGTCTGGGTTTGATTTTGGCCCGGTTGGTTTCTGCCTGAGAGCCTTCCGACTCGGACGTCTCGCAGTAGTTCACCTCCTTCTTGTGGCTCCGCCGAGACCGCCGCCGACTCATGTCCAGATCACTGTCGCTGTAGTCGCTCGAGCCTTCAGTCGCTGCAACAAAGAATCGCTTTTTACAAACGCAAAGAAAACCCTAAAATCAGAGTTTGTCTGGAGGAATGGGACGAAACGTCAGCAAACTGCAAAATGTCAACCAAAAGTGTTTCAGTCAGATCGTCTAGTTTGAAGGCAAAGCTGCTAAACACTAAGAATGTACACAGACTTGTGTCTTTTAAAAACAATAAAAATATTTAAAATAATATTTTCGCTCATTCTTTGGGCATTTTACAAATAAAAATAATTCTGAGAATCCAACCGGAGCTAAAACAGGAAAGTTTTATTCTTTTTTTCTGTCCGACAGCGAGAAAAAAATGGTTGTGCGTCTTTTTACGCAGTGTATGTAAACATCTGAACTCAGAAGGGTTAGGCACCTATCTCGTCCTCCTCCACGTCATCATCCGTCTCCTCTTCATCGTCTGAGTACCACCTCGGTCTCCGCCTCCTTCTGGAGCTCTGACGACGTTTCTGTAGCCTCCTGTTCCTCCAGGAGGAGCGATGTCTGCCGCTGTTGTTGCTGCCGAAGTCGCTGTTGTTCGACTCCTGCTCCGTTTCTGGTTCCGACTCGTTGTCTGACGCGACAAACTCGTCCTCGGAGCTGAAGACAAACAGAAACGTGAAGGGTTTGGTACAGATCCGAGGTCAGAGGGAGGTCGGTGCTGAAATATACCCCGTACCTTCCACTGAGGCGAAACTCTTCCTCGCTCTCCTCCTCGTCCACGGTGCTGTCGCTGTCCAGATCGTTGAGCCGCCGGCGTTTCTTCCTGCGCTGCCCGGCGTTGGGTCGGGGCGGCCGGCCGTTCTCTTTCCCCTCCTCTGCCTGGAGGATGGTGGAAATGTCTTTACCTCTGTGGCCTGTGATGTTGGCCATGTCTTTACCTCGACCAGCTCCTGCAAAACATAATTATATCAGATTTATTTCTCACATCAGGACAACAATTCAAACTGCATTCATCATTTTAACCTTTAATTCTTGGATTACAGTTTGGATTAAACAAGATGAAGTGAAATTAGGAGGTGCTGAAAACTTCATTTATCTCGTTACAGCTGCTTTAATCGTACCTCCACCTTCGGCTTCTTTGATGTCTTCCTCAATGGCCTCCTCGATCGCCTCGTCGAATTCATCAAATCTGTCGTTGGCAGTAAGACGCAAGCACGGGTCAAAAATCGGTCCTTAAAAGTGACGATCGCATTACATTTACAGGATACTTCTATTTTTATGTAAACAGTTAAAGGCCAAGCAGTTTCAGGTAACACACAAAAAACAAGTGGCTATAACTAAATGAAAAGGAGGAACATTATGAGCTGGAGCTTCTACCGTTTAATTAGAACTCACATTTAATTCGATATCGTTTACGATCAACAGAAGCGTACAAAAATAAACAACGGTGACACTGTTAATTACTCGTGCACAAACAGAAACACGAAAGCTTCGACTTCTGTGGAACAACGGTTCAGGCTGATAATCCTCCCCAACTATAGCGCTTTATTTTTAAATTATCCACCATAATCAAACAAACAATCGACGTTTAAATTGCGTCGAAACAAATTTGACCAAATGTAGAAATTGTGCCGAAGTTGTTTTTCCACAAATTCAAAAAGTCTTTCACTTTTAAAAGTATTTTTTTGTCAGTTTTTCCAGAAACACCGTTTGCATCTTTAAAAAACCCCTTCGTGCTTTTATTGCCATCATAAATCAGTCCCGACCAATGAAACAGTGAAATCAAACTTCTACAAAATCATACTAATTAAATAAAATGATCTAATATAAAGTTAACTGTTGCGTAAATATTCATCGTCTTTACAAAGGGAACTGTCCCACTCCAACACAAACGAAAAGACATTTGAAATGTCCAAGTTAGGACGGACACAAGAATTTACAAGCCCAAAACATTCCCGGGAGTTCTGTCTGATCATCACCAAGAAATGGAAGGAATACGGGACGAATCAACGAAGAGCAGGTCGTCTCCGTGCACGGAGGAGGATAGTGAGAGCTCTCTGAAGGTGATGGGAGACTGAGCATACGACAACTGTTGCCCTCGTTCTTCTCCAATCTAAGCTTCTTATTGAAAAAATACAGATTTTAAAATCTTTAGACGCTCTAAACCATTTGTTGGTGAAGACAAACACCTGCAAGAGAAAGCTGCCTTTTAAAATTTCAATAGATCCTCAGATTATTTTATATCAAGTTGTAAGCATTAAATGAGTTTGAATCTAAAATCGCCCTAGTTTTTATTTTTTGCTGCGCAGTTTGACAGAAGTTAAAAACATCTCAAACCTGTAGCTGATAGTCTTCTTCGCCCTCGTTGACCTACGACCCCAGCTCTTACTGCGCTTCGGTTCTTTTTTCTCTTTGATGACGATCTCCGGTTTCTCCTCCTCCTCCATGTCCACCTGGAAGGAGTTCGGGACGTTTAAGTTTACGAACATCAGCGCGTGAATCGGTTTGTCTCCGTGCAGCGTCAGCGTGTACTTACAGACGGTGTGATGATGTTCTCAACGCTGATTCCTACATAAATTAGACGTTCTTTCCTGCAGGACAAGAAACACAACGAGAAAGCGCACATTGGTACTAAATTTAAAACCTAAGATATTGTCTTTCACTTCCTTTGGAAGTGAAATGGATAGGCCTGTCACGATAACAAGTTTTGCTGGGCGATTAATTGTCTCAGAAATTATTGCGATAAACGATAATATTGTTTGAAATTTGACAATAATTAGTCATTATTGTCAAATTTAAGAAGAAATGTTGGTTAATTTTGTGTGTAGTACCTGTTTTGACCACTGGATGGCAGTATAAGACCGTTTGAATTGAAGGATGGATAGTGAGGGAGCGAGCAGTGTGTCTCTAAGAAAAATGGGAGTGAGGTCCCTTGACGTGACATGGGCTGTCTCTTGTTCCTGTTTTTCGGTTCTCAAAATGGCGGACGCTCGGTGTGGTTTGAGCTCTTTAGCATAGCATTTTTCACACAAAGCTTTTAATAAAAAAGTCAGTGAACAAGTTCTCAGCTTCTTTTTGCAGAGAAAAAACTTTTTAGACGAAAGCACGGGTTTCAACTGTGAATTATGGAGCTTTGACAAGACAAGTTTTTTCCCTGAGGTTGGCCTGTTAGCTTAGCTCGTAGCTTAGCTGCTTTTAACGATCCCACAGGTGATTTTGGATGGCTAAAACAGATTTTAAAGAAAAAAGAGAAAGGGAGGGGTCAGCGAAGAGCACCGGAGTTAAGTCTTTTGTCATCCAGTGTCTTCAGTAGAAAGAGAGACACGAAGAAACGATAAAGCCGATCAATGAAAATGAGGTCGATATTTTCATTTATCATGTGATTAATTGATTTATTGTTTACAGCGACAGGCCTATTCATGAAGAATCTGAAGTGAAAAAACAAATTAATGGCTCAATAAAGTAATTACTGTGTCAACAAATGCCATGAAATAAATAACTCTAGACAGTTACTGTGCTTTAAATTTAAACTAATAAATGTATTTTAAGTTGAAATGTTAGTTTTAACAGTTGGCAGCATTAAAAACTTTTTAGTACCAAATAAATCAACATTTTACACACAACTGGAGAGACAATAATTATAAAAACATTTAAATGTATGACCTATAAGAACAGCTGTACGTGATCATTTCATGATTTTTACACTAGCTTCGTTAGTTTTAGTCCAGGTCTTTGTGGGAAAAGCTTGAAGCTTTTTTGTTCTTTAATATTCCTCAACTTTGTCTTCAGGGACACGAATATTGTTGCAAAACCCAAACAGAAACCACGAACCTAAACCAGGACCAGTGGAACAACACGGCGCTTTGCCACGGTCTCAACTCTCAATGGCTCCACACCAGTTAAAGGCCTCCCCACTGCTGGTACCCACCCCCACTCAGCCCGGTTTATGGGACCACCTTGATCGTGGTTCTGAGCGGGCTGCTCCGAGGGGATGATTTTGAAGTCAGCAGACAGCAGCTGTTGATTGTTCAGCGGAGCTACGTGATTAAATGACCCGCCCAGCAGAACTGCAAACTACATCTGAACCTTCACGTCCTCATCGTGATGGACGGCACCACAATAAATATTTACAAAGAGATATCGGAGATGAGGGCACAGCACAGCCACACCTGGACTTATAAGCAAAGACCACGAGTGGAGTGGCTCGAACACAACGACCTGTTGTGGGGAAACAGGTAAGCCTCCACTGGAGTGGCTGCAAATCACCTCAACCTGAGAGGAGCCGAGAAGAGGAGCCGAGTGAAGCCGCTCTTATCACTGGCAAAGCAGCCGAAGTGTTCCTATTAAACAGAACTCAGAAGCTGCTTCATCATTAAGTATAATTCTGATCTCCTATTCGGTTCTTCTCAGGTGTAGGTGCGTGTCTCTTTGGGAGTTTGTCCTTCACTCTGTGGGCGGGATCATCTGTCGGAGCTATGGGAGGAGGCGGGGCTTACGGCAGCACTCGCTGCTCGCTGAGGACAGTGACTACAGAACGATCAGTGCCTTCACTGCCGCCACTAAAAGTCTCCAAACACACTGGGAAAAGTAGCTAGATTTGTTGCTAGTCGCTCGTTTGAAAACACAAAGAAAAAAAAAAACGTAGAGGGGTCTGAAAACTTGAGTGACAAAGCTGGGAGTCCAAGTACAGCCTTGGTTCATCCAGTGACGTCGATCCACGGATCGATCAACAGCTGCAGTTTGATGAAGTCAAAAACGTTGGCTCGGCTCAGCTGGAACCACGGCCGGGTCCAAACACCGAGCAAGAGCAGGGACTAAAGAAACAACTGGCCGACGAGGAGCAAACTGATTCAAGTCACGTCCGTGAAGAAGCAGCCATAGTGTCAGCTCAGGTTTATTCAAGACAAAACCAGAGAATCTCTCACCGTCTCTCGGCTCGTTCCTTCTTTTTCAAGGCGGCGTCGAGGTTTTGAAGCTGCTCGTCCAGCCTGTCGCAGAGTTGCTTCTACAAATGGGATAAATGAAATATTTTCAGCTTCAACCCTCATTTCCGTTCCTTTCCTTCAGCCTTCACCCCTCAGACGGATACGTACGTGCTGACAGGGTGGGCAGAACCACTCTCCATCAGGGATGATCATGAGGGGAGGTCTGAGACAGGCCGTGTGGTACCCGCTGTCACACGAGTCACACAGTAAGATCTGCAAACAAACAGGCTGATCATAAACGGAGCGTTTCGCACCCACACACATTTAGGTTTGCAAGTTAACACTTTTAAAGAGTTGCTGCGATTCATAAAACCACACACACGCAAAACACGACGTGGAAATACAGCAGTCCCTCGCTACTTCACGGCACGACTTTCAGGACCCGCTCTTTCGTGGTTTTTCAATGATCGTCAACTTTAATATTACTCACGTGATTGGGACGGTACGGGATTAAAAGTTTATGAAAGAAAATACTTCGGACAAGCGCAGCCATTTTGTAGTTTTCTTTCAATAAGCCTACACTGTAACGCAGGTCAAAAGAACTACACCACCCAGAAGCCAACAGTGCTTCCAGCTGCTGCTTTCTGCCGAAATGGAGGGAAAGTTCTGCGACGCAAAGTCAGAAGTAACGATCGATCTGCGAAGCTCACAGAACTGGCAGGAAAGTCTCAAACAATCCTGAAGCTCAATTATCCACGTGCACATCACCCTGGACGGGAGCGGTGGGCTTCGGTGCTGCAGGGTAGGTCTGCAGAACCAGAACCGAGCTGCTGGTCTGCAGAGCTGGTGAGTAAATTTTTGCAGTACTGTGCACAGTACATATACGCATGTTGTTAAAATGACGTCGGCTTAAGAGTTTAGATTAAAACGTTGCAAGAGTGTGGGAAGGGTTTATAAAGCCTTAAAGAATATATAAATATTAAAATAAATATAGCGTCCCTACTTTGCGGTTTTTCACCTATCGTGGGGGTGTGTGGAGCGTAACCCCCACGATAATCGAGGGACAACTGTAAACCAGAAATGTTTTATTAAATATTTTGTGGATTATTACATGATTGCCACATTTGCTATATCTTGGCCTAAGTTTGGTAGAACACGGTCTCAGTAGGTGAATTTTATCTCCTCCCCACCCCCAACGAAAAAAAGATTCCTAAAGAAGGTGCAGAAGGTGAGAACATGAGACCTTCATGGTGAAGTGTTGATTTTAGATTATGTTTCTAAATTAGTTTGTACAATCGATGGTTTAAATGCAGAAAAATGCTCCTGGATTTAAAAGTTGACTCAACTCACAGTTAAAACCTTTTGTGAATCTGTTTCTTCATATACGTGTAATTTCCTTTTACAGCAGTCTCTTTCTTGTTAAACTGCTTTAAATGAATCTTATACTTGAACGTGTGAACAGAGGAGTGAAATCAGAAAGTAGGCCTCTGACGGCACCCACCAGCTCAGGGTGATTTGGAAGACCGCAGTGTTTGCAGGGGTCGTCGTTGGGAGGTAGATCGTCGTCCGAGGACGTCGAAGAGTCCGAGCTTCGTCTCTCGCGGTTCCGGTTCCGCCTCTTTCTGCTTCGCTCAACCTTGTAGTCCTCGTCGCTGTCGTCCTCTTCCTCACTGTCCTCCTCCTCGCTGGACTCCTCCTCGCTGTTTTCATCCTCAGAGTTTTTCTTTTTCCGCCGCGTCCGTGTGTTGGACCAACGAGCTCTCCGCCTCTTTCTTCCCTGAAGACAAACATGGCTGCCGTAACCGTTTCCATAAAGACGAGCAGAAATTAAAAAGTGGGGATATTTTTGTCTTACCTTGGGTTTGGGCTGACTCTCCTGATCAGCCTTTTTCTCTTTGGGTTTTCTTTGAACAGTCTTTATGTCGGTCTCCTCCTCATCCTCCTCTTCGTCTTTCTCCTTCTCGTCTTTGGCCTCGTCCTGTTTTTGCGGCGGCGCAGCGGCCTTCTCGATCTTTTTGTCCTGAATCTCCACCGCCTTCTGCGTCGGTTTAGAGATCCTCGGCGATCTTCGAAGGTACCTCCCGGTGTTCGTGTCCGACTCGGAGTCTCCCTGGCGCTCTTCGCTCTGAAGCTCGACTTTTCGTCGATGCGCCGGAGGCCGGTTCATCCGATGAGCGTCACCGCGGCTCTCCACCTTCTTCGTTTTGTTTTTTTCTGTGGAGGCATCGGTGGATTGTCCTTTGTTCGGCCGTTTGCTGCTTTCTTCTGAGGACTTGACATCGAGGTCTTTGCTCGTTTGTTGGACTTCAGAGTCCTTATTTTCTGATGAACTTTTGTTTTGAGCTTTTTCTTCCTTTGCTTCACTTTTTACGCCTCGATCAGTTGAAATATCTTCTTTATTTGAAAGCTTTTTGTCTTCAGCAGGATCCTTCTTGCTTTCTTCCCTGGTGTCCTTTGAGTCTTTCTCAGGCTCCTTCTCCTCGTTTTCTTGTCTTTTAGATGCTTTATCCGTTTCTTCACAGGCTTGTGTCTTGACTGGACTGGATGGTTCATCCTTTCCTTCGCGTGCATCGTCTGTCGCCTTGTTTTTAACAGAGTTCAGCTCCATTTTCTTATCTTCTTGTGGCTTCATCAGCTCGTGCTGACCGTCCAGCGTCTCCCCTGCGGCCTGTCTGGACTCAGCGTCGCCTCTCGTGGTGACATCACATACGGTGCGATCCGCGCAGTTGGTAATTTTCTTCACCTCTTTGGGATTTTCTGTCTTTTTCTCACAAACCTGGTCGACAGTTGTTTTGACGTGGCTCTCCTCAGAGGGTTTACGTGATTCTGACGGAGGAGCAGGAGGCGCCAGGTTCTCCTTTTTGTTGACCGTTTCTTCTGGTTTGTCGCACAGCGATGGTTCGTTTGGTTTTTCAGGTGATAAAGAGGCTTCGGACTGAACGGGTTTCTCTGGAGGATCTTTGTCTGCAGACGGTGTCTCAGTCGTCGTAACGGATTCTGACGTCCCCCTCAGAGCAGACACATCTGATCTGTCAACACGACTTCCAGAGGCGCCCGTTTTAGTCGATCCGTCGGTCCGGTTTGGTTCGGACGTGTCCGAGCTTCCCTCCGACTCAGCTTCTTTGGATTTGAGTTCATGATTTGAGTTTAACTTGTCCAATTTATCAGTTTCCTTTCGTAAGTTTGTTCCGTTTTCTGTAGAAGAGATTCCTTCTGCTGATTTGGACTTTTTTATTTTCTCAGGATTTTCGTGATTAGATGTTTTTTCCACTCCATTATTTAAGTCTTTACATAAAGCTATTTGTTCTTTTGATGGTTGCGAAGAGTCGTGAGCATCCTCTTGTCCAGTTTGCACATTTTCTGTTCTTTTAGAGCCACTTTGCTGTGATTTGACTTCCTTTATAATCTCTGTCCTACACGCTTCGTGCTTCTCCTGTGGCCCATCCTGGTCTGAGGGAGGAAGAGCGTTGGATTTATTCGCCTGGTCTTTGTCAGCAGCAGATTCTTTCAGCGACTCTCTCTCTGACGGAGGCTGAACTTCACCGTTAACTTGATCATGTACTTTCTGAATTTTCTGCGACTGTTCAGTTGATTCTGCTTCAGAAGCCTCCTTCGGGACGGCAGCTGGTGGGTTTTGTGCTGTTATGGACCCGTTTTTCTCAAAGTTCTCACTGAACTTCTTTCCCCGTTTCTTCAAAGGGATTTTGGCCTGCTGGTCATTCTTCATGGCGTGCTGGATCTCCTCTGAACGCTTCTTTGTGGCCTCGTCTTCTTTTTCCCTCTTCACCGACACGCTCGTCGTCGTGCAGGGCGGCGTTGGTTCCCGCGACACCGGTTTGATGTCCGTCACCTCCATCGGTTCTTCTTTGACGTTTTCAGCTTTGACGCCGTTTTCCGAGTCAAGCTCAGGTTTGCCTTCAACAATGCCGTTCAGCGCCAACTTGGTCTCAGAGGATTCTGTTTTCAGTTCGTCCTTCTGCGTTGCTTCATTTTGTTCCAGACAAACAGTCTTGTCCGAGTCCTTGCTCTCTCCGTCTGACGTGCCCTCGGTCTTCTTCACGTCCCCTAAAAGTTATCGACACGATGGTTCAAGTTTCGATTCTTGTAAGTTGATTCAGAACAAAACATCAGTTCCATGAATAAGAAAAAGTTCCTTTATAAGAAGACTCCTGATAAATTAACATATTTTTTCCACATTTTAGTCATTTAATTAATCAAAGTTACTGGCAATGAAGTGAAAAAGCTTAAAGCTTCTGCACAAATTAAAACATCTAAATGTTTTGACTTAAAAGAGAAGCTAAAAATCAAAACAATACTTAAAAATAACAACAAAACTGATTTTTTTCTGAGCAAGTAGTAACATAAAAGTTCAATATTCTAAAGTTGACCTTTGTTTTCTGTTTTTTCGCCGTCCTCTTCATGGTCAGGCTTGTTTTTCTTTTCCTCGTCTTTCTTCAGCAGCTCGGGGTCAATTTGTGTCTTGAGCAAGGCGACGACTTCAGCCAAATCATTTCTAGTTCTAAAGGAAGGAAAAAGAGATTTTAAATGTATTTTCCAGAAAATACTAATGTACTGTACTTGCTGCCCAATAAGTCGCATCAACCCAAATATGCCTAATAAAGTGGAACAATCCATAAATACGTCGCATCTATTATGCGTCACCGCTGACAACCCAGAAATGTGGGCCGGTGTTGTGCCAAAAATCGAATGGCTGCCAAATGGCGGCTGCGGGAGCGTGCACGGGAGGACTTTAAGAATTATAGCAAGGGTGTATCTCAGTTTAACTTTTCATTAAAAAATGCACTTTAATGGTCAAATCAGCTGCATTTCAAAAGCCGATTCGCAGCTGCTGGAGCGCGCAGAGGGAGGACTCGCTGTGCATTCCTTTGAAATTTAACAAGATAATCACCTAAAACAACTATTTGTTTGCTTGAAATTATAGTAAAGGTGTGTCTCAGTCTAACTTTTACTTAATAAATGCACTTTAATGCTCAAATCAGCTGCATTTCACCTGGGCGGCGCGGTGAAATGCAGCTGATTTGACATTTGCTCCAGGAATATGGAAAGCCAAGTGTCTCATTAATAGCCACTTTTACCTATTAATGAGACACTTGGCTTGCCATATCAGTCGAGGGCCCTCTAGTGGCTGAAAATGGTAGTGTTCAATATTTTCAGTCAGAATGAATGAAATCATCAGAGCTCAACCAAAAATTGGTTTATAAATGGGGGGAAAAAACATAAATATGTCGCTTCACTGTATAAGTGGCAGGGCATGCTAATTTATGCAAAAAACATGATACAGCGAAAAATACGGCACTGATATTTAAACAAACATGCATGAAAATCTAAGGATTTGTCTGCAAACGTTAGGATTGAATTTGCACTTTAAAATGTCCGAGCGTAATCTTTGTGCTGACCTGACGATGCACTTCCACGATGCCGCGTCCAAGTCGTCCTGCTCCTCCACGTAAACGCGCACGTTGTCGTCCTGGTCCAGCTGAAACCAGTACATCTGCCCGTCTTTGTCCCGGCCAATTGGCTGCAGACGCATTTTATCGGGGTCCTCGTCATTGATGGCGGTTTTGAACTTTACGTTGTCGTCAAACTGACACTCGCACAGATACTGAAGACAGAGCAGGAACAAAGTCATTCATCTTAAACTTAAACCAGGAGAACATCAGAGGACCTGCCGAGTCTGGGAACTTTTAAACATACAGATAAATCAAACATGTATTCAGGCGGGGACTACTCGGTGCCTGGCTTCTGATTTGAGTAATTTATTATTAAACTTTACAGATCTAACAGAATGTGAGCTACAAGTTCATATTTAGCTCTAATCTTGATATAAATGTCAATTATTCTCGAGCACGAGTTCTATTTTTGTTAATAAAAATATCCAGGAAACCTGACTGTACCTCGTTATTCAAACATCATTCATGTTTTGTTTGCAGTTTTTCTGAACTTTACAACTAGAAAAAAGTTTATAAGATGTCAACAAGCCATCAGTGACATTATTAAAGCGACAAGTGTTTCTTTTTGAGCTTTAGTTTAAAACTTCAAGTAACTCATCATGGGGCATGAAAAACACAGCAGCATCACTACAAGCTGGATCAAAGACAGTTCTCACTTTAAGTATCCCCGTCTTGCACTCCATCGTCAGCTGCTTGTACCCCTTCTGTTCGAGTTCCCATGCCCAGGTTGAGTTGATGTCCTGACACACCTGCAACAAAAACCAGAGCTGAACCAGGACCGACACGACGCAGGAATATTAAAGTCAGGGTCGGATCTGAATGACGCAACAACAAACACCAACGGTTGAAAAGCTGCCTTCATCCTCCCATCACTCATATTTGTTGTTGTTTTTTCCTCTAGTCTGTTTACACAAAACATAAACAAGTCAAAGTGGATCAAACGTGTCTCTGAAGATCATCCTGCTGCTTCAAAGTGGACAAACTATTAAATCCTTGACATAAATTATGGATATTCTGAGCCGATCAAGACCCAGACTGGGAATCTAGGCATTTATTTTTTCTGTTGGATGTTTCTTCCTGTTAAAAATGGAGTTTTTCCTTTCCACTGTTGCCTTTGTGCTTGTTCAGGATGGGAGACTGACACAATCTGCTGACTTCCTTAGATAAATAATGTTACTAATTGATTATTATGTGCTGTAACTGTATGTGAATGTTTCTGTCCTGAGATGAAAAAAAAAAGAATTGAGTTGAATGTTTTGGTCATTTTTCTGGTTTTAGAATCATTTAACTCCAGAACCAAGTTGTCTGGTGTGTTTGAAGTGATGTTTAGTCCAATAGTTATCAAGAGTTTAGTATCAGCCGTGAATCAGTAACAGAGCCGCAGTTTGGAAGAGAAGAATGTGATTCAGGCTAAAGACAAACCAGACCGATCCCAGTTTTAAATTGTTTTTTAAAGCAAATAAAAGAGACTCAGCAGACTAAGGTGCCTACATTTGCTTGGTAACAGACATTGATCAGTCAAGAGAACAGTGACCAATTAAACAGATGTCATGCACAAGTGCAGAGGTTTGATGTCGGCTAACATTGTGCACTTTAACACAAGTACGACACTTCTGCAGGAGTCGTGTCATTTGATTCCTCTCGCTCCATTACTCTGTGCTCTATGGCTGACAAATACTAATTATTGAGAACTTTTTCAAAATGACTGCACTAGATATGACAGAACCAGGACAATATGTGTGGAAACAATTAGAAACCAGCCACTTACTGAGCATCTCTAAAACGGCAGTAAGATCAGAAATGAACCAAAACTTAAGCTTTCTTTGTTTCTCTGTAATGGATGAGAGTCATAAAGTGCTCCAAAGCAACATCAGGATGTGTTTAAAATCAACCTTCTCCACCCGTAACACAGAGAAATATTTTACCAGCCGTACACAGTGAGGAAAATAAGTATTTGAACACCCTGCGACTTTGCAAGTTCTCCCACTTAGAAATCATGGAGGTGCATGTCCACTGTGAGAGACATAATCTAAAAAGAAATCCAGAAATCACAAATGTATGATTTTTTAAATAATTTATTTATGTGTTACTGCTGCAAATAAGTATTTGAACACCTGCCAATCAGCAACAACTCTGGTCCTCAAAGACCTGTTAGTCCGCATCTAAAGAGTCCACTCCACTGATTATTCTAAATTAGAAGCACCTGTTTGAGGTGGTTAGCTGCATAAAGACACCGGTCCACCCCACACAATCAGTAAGACTCCAACTACTAACATGGCTAAGACCAAAGAGCTGTCCAAAGACAATTATTAGAACATGGAAGAAGCTAAACACGACTGTCACTCTCCCTCGGACTGGGGCTCCATGCAAGATCTCACCTCGTGGCGTATTGATGATCCTAAGAAAGGTGAGGAATCAGCCCAGAACTACACGGGAGGAGCTGGTCCATGAGCTGGCACCACTGTTTCCATGGTTACTGTGGGTAACACACTAAGACGTCATAGTTTAAAATCATGCATGGCCCGGAAGGTTCCCCTGCTTAAATCAGCACACGTCCAGGCCCGTCTTACGTTTGACCATGACCATTTGGATGATCCAGAGGAGTCATGGGAGAAAGTTCTGAGGTCAGATGAGACCAAAATAAAAAACTTTCTGGTCTTAATTCCACTCATCGTGTTTGGAGGATGAAGAATGATGAGTACCATCCCAAAAACACCGTCCCTACTGTGAAGCATGGGGGTGGAAGCATCATGCTTTGGGGGCGTTTTTCTGCACATGGGACAGGACGACTGCACTGTATTAAGGAGAGGATGACCGGGGCCATGTATTGTGAGATTTTGTGGAACAACCTCCTTCCCTCAGTTAGAACATTGAAGATGGGTCGTGGCTGGGTCTTCCAACGTGACAATGACCCGAAGCACACAGCCTGGAGAACCAAGGAGTGGCTCCGTAAGAAGCAGATCAACGTTCTGGAGTGGACTAGCCAGTCTCCAGACCTAAACCCTATAGAAAATATTTGGAGGGAGCTCAAACTCTGTTTCTCAGCAACAGCCCAGAAACCTGCTGATCTAGAGAAGATCTGTGGAGGAATCGTCCATAATCTCTGCTGCAGTAAACCTGGTGACAAACTACAGGTAACCTTTGACCTCTGTAACTGCAAACAAAGATAATGTACCAAATATTAACACTGATTTTCACTGGTGTTCAAATACTTATTTGCAGCAGTAACACACAAATTAATTATTTTTAAAAATCATACATTGTGATTTCTGGATTTGTTAAAATTTAGATTATGTCTCTCACAGTGCACATGCACCTAAGATGAAAATTTCAGACCCTCCATGATTTCTAAGTGGGAGAACTCGCAAAGTTGCAGGGTGTTCAAATACTTATTTTCCTCACTGTAAATGAATAGTATGTTTGAAAAGTGCTTAATAAAGTATGTGTACTTCACTGAAAAACAAGACTAAATTGTGCAAAAAGGACTTCATCATAGACTAATTAGATGGGACATGTAAAGTTTTAACACGTTACAGAATAAACTAGTTTACGATCTAAAAGGAGATAAATGCTCCGTCAAAAAAGGTTAAATCAGGTCAACTGAACAAGTTCCTTTAAGTGAGAAACATAAATGCTCATTCAGTGAGAAACACCTGCGACATTTTGATAGGTGTCTTTAGTAGAGCTGTCATTTCTAACACGAACCCGGCCCCGCCCGACCCGTATTAGGGCGGGCTGGGCCATAATAATGTGCTTAATGTGCTGGCTGGGTCGGTGTCGGGCTTTTGATTGCGTCAGCGGACGATCCAATTATATGGCTACATGGCTTGCCATACTATCATCAGCCGCACCTGGCCATTTGACCGCGCACTGACCGGCCTTGAAAGAGGTAAAACATTCAGTTAAGCTTCAGATGGACTGCCAGCGATCCATCGTCCAAATGGACGTTCATTCAGCCGCTGCACTCAGTGGACGCTCGCAGCCGACGACCCAAACAGGTGAGATCACAAAATACCTGACATGTCAGAGCAGGGTCCATGTCTGAATAATGCAGAATGCAGGTAGAAGCAGGGATTTAATGCACTTTGACGGCCATGAAAGGACAAACACCCCCTCAGCTCCGATCTTCTGCCCCTTTTATTCAGCCGTGCGCGTCCGCCGACCGTTAATATAAGAAGTCAATGCTTAATTAAAAATGTTAGGGTTTTCTTTTTCAGGTTTAGACCTGTAACAAAGTCCATGCTCAATAATCCAGGTATACAATTCAACATTTTTCAGTCAGGTCATCTGAACAGTTTCTTTTTTTGTGCTAAAACGTTTCACCTTCGATCCGGAAGGCTTCATCAGTCCAGGAAACACACAACACAAAACTGATTCTCAGTTGAACTCTCAGTTCTCTGATGAAGCCTTCTGGATGGAAGGTGAAACGTTTCAGCACAAAACGAGAAACTGTCCAGATGACCTGACTGAAAAATGTTGGATTGTATACCTGTGATTACTGTTAATTTGTCGGGTGGGGTTCGGAAACGATGGCTACGGGCTGAGGCCGTGCCGGGTCAGATTTTTTGGACCCGAATGCAACTCTATAGTCTTTAACCTCTAAATACCCAGAGTCCTCATGTGGGGACAGATATTCTACTCTGTTGAACTTCGATCTAATTTCTGAACTACAATCGTCCCTCACTATATCGCGGGTTATACATTCCTCTCATCGTCATCATCTTCATCACCACCACCCAAGTGTTTAAGAGCATATAAAGTGTTAATAAGAGTGGGAAGGGTTTATAAAGCCTTTAGTATATAATAAAATAAATATAACGCTGCTACTTCATGGATTTTCACCTACAGCGGGGGTCTCTGCAACGTAACGCCACGATAGATGAGGGACACTGTACTAACTTGAAAAACAATGTCTGATTTTTATTTTTTTTTTTCTAAGCCCAGATAGATCGGGGGAAATACAAATGCACGACTAACAAACCTTAAGACTGAGGAGGTTAAGATGAGTAGGAAGTGCACTCTGGGAGAAACGATGACGGAGCGACGTGTTGTCCCAACAACAGACAATTAGCGCTGGCAGCAGTTCGTCTTGTCCCGGGTTACTTCAAACCTAAGTTGCTTTTATTTACACAGACCGAGCTCCTAGAAGTTCATGCTGGCAGAAACAGGTTCCTACTGGGATCCTCTACACCTGCTGTCTTTGTGCTAAAAGCACAGAACATGCACATTAAATCTAAAATTAAACACTAAAATCTTTAATAGACAAAGCTGAAGACGGTTTTCAGGTTGCAGCGGAAAAGGAGCATTTCTTGCATCAAAAACAAACTCAAACATCTGGAATTCAACAGTTTGCTTGTTGTCGTTTCGCCCCAGCGCTCATTAGAACTGAAGATCCACGTCCAACTATTCCGTGGATTTCACAAGTTTAAACAGGTGCTACATATATGAAACGGAGACAAGCAGCTTTCCGTGTCATTCTGTATGATCATCTAGAAAACAATAAAAAAGTGATGGATAATATTAGAGCTCAAAGCTTGAGCACCAACTCCAGCTGGAGGTGCACGAGCTTCTCCTCAACCAACACAGCTTCTCAGAGTCACTTTAGACTTTTCAACTTCATCCAAGAACCAAACTAACTTATAATGAGCAGAAAAACTTGAAGGACTTTGAGGCATCAACACAAACGCTGAACGTTTACCCTGGCCAGATGCTTCTCCCATCGGTCTGCAGACACCGACTTCCCGATCTTCCTCAGCAGCTTGACGTGAAGATCAGCCAGCAGCTTCGGAACTGAGGAGACACAAACAAGTCAAATGGTTTACCTTTAACACAAAATATATTAAAAAAAAAAATCTACATTTTTACTTTAACAATCAAGAAAATGAAGCTGCTGCTGTTCTTAGAATTTTACTTGGAAACTTTTTGTTTATAAACCAAAATGATAACGCAAACATCATAAAAGTAACTCCAGTTCTTCCAGCAGTCTCATCGTGCTGCATAATGATGAGAAACCAGTTTATTTTGGAGCAGCTCAACTTTCAACGTGCACACAGAAAACATCTAGTAATTGTTGTTTTTTCTGGCAGAAGATCCTAAATAAAATAGAAGTTAATCATCTGAGAAGTTTGAAAACTGAGTCGACATTTCTAATTCTTTTATGTTTGACTTACTTGGACCTGTTAATGTGAACATTTAAAATAAATAAATCCAAGGATCATCACAGTAAAATGAAGAATAAACAAAACATAGAGTCACTGATTTAAAGTAAACTCTGGAAAGAAAGTGTGCGCTTGATTTGTTTTTCCCCATCCCAATTATTTATATAATACATGAGTTATAAATGCCAGAAAAGCTGGAAAGATTAATAATTGTACACAACATACAAATGATAACACTTTGGGTAAAATATTCAAATTCTGACGTCAAGGATATCTGCAAATATTTTTGCACAAGTGAACTGACATGGCAAACCCATAATAAATTAAAGTTAAAAAATGTTCTGTGATGATAAATATTTATAATTAGTAATATATATATATATTTTAAAAATGCCAGAAATGCATCTAAGGAGAAAAAGACAATTTCAGCTTTCATCTCCTTTTTCTTTACTTTTAAAAGATTTTTATTTGATTACATATTTAAAAAAAACATTTTAAACAACATTAATATTCATTGTTTTTGACATTACATATCAGTATTTACTATTATGCTCTTTGGAATGAACAGGAATGTTAATAAATTAAAAATTCAACAACATTACAGATGTTTTTTAATCCTCTTCTTATGATAAATAATATAAAACACGACAAAGTGACACCGCATGTAAATCAGAGGCAAAAATTAAAACCCAATCAGGAGCGCCTCGAACCGGAAGCACATGACAAGTGTCAATTTACTGCAATGAGCGGCGGAAGTTGACGTACAACTGATTTACTTAGAAGAAAACAACTCTAAATGTTTAACTTAAAGCCAGCGAGTAGAAAATTACACGTTAAAGGAACACAAACCTGTAATAATTAGTTATATGAGCAGCCAAAATGAATCTGAAAGCGTTTATTTAGAAATGAACAATTTTATTGTGACAGCGTCAACCGGAAGCTTCTCGCTGTTGCGCATCACTCTGCAGTAGCTCGGCTAACCGCTGCCTGGCAAAAAATATCTTAACTGTTAATAAAGTGCACCATTTCCAGCCTGCTTCGCGGCTTGACGTGCTTAGCCGCAGTTCATTAAAAGCCGCAGTTTGTTACGCAAACCACCGTGACGTGTAAACTGCGTTTCCCCCGCACATTTGCGTCTGTGTTGTGAGAAGCAGCGGATAAAGGCTGGAGGAAAAAAAAAAAGCCCAATTGAGAAAAGCTAAAAAGTGAGAGAAAACATCGAACTATTCGGCAGATTTACATTGCAATCAGCGTTAAAACGTGTGTAGAAGCATTTTCCTCTTTGAACGGCAGATCTGGATCGCAGTTAATTTGCATTTAAGAAAAGACGAAGGTTTAAAAAACACACAATAACACAGCGAAGCTAACGTTAGCTCGTAGCTCCATTATCATTAACGCTGAAGCCTCTCCTCGTCCTCGCCACCAGCTGCCTGGTTTTGCGCCTCACCTGAGGATGTGTCCTGCAGGTATCTCTCCAGCTGAGGAAAAGTGAGCTCCGGTAAGTCCAGTAAGGCTCCGTACCGCTCCAGGAAAGAGCAAATCACGGCGTAATTTGGACACAAACTGGGAGAAGAACTCGCCGTTGCCGCCGAAGCAGCCATCTTTTCCACGCCAGTGTCAAGCAAGCGGAAACTAACGGCACCACTTCCGGTGTTAACAAAATAAAGCAGTACAAGAGCAAAACAAGCACAGTTACAAATAAAGTCCAGTTGTTTTGTTTTGTTTTTAGCATTTTTTTGAAAACAAGCACTTGCTTTATTTTCTTCATTTACTGAGTCTATTTTATCTGCGTTTAAATTTATTTAAAAAGCTTTAAATGCAACATAATGCACAGACACTACTATTAAAAATAGATCACTGTGAATGCTGTTTGGCGTATTGTTTTTGTACTATTAGTGCTTAGCGTAATCTTAGTTCATATCTTAGATCTTATTACTGTTTTCTTTACAATTTAAACTTTTGTTGGATGTAACTGGGACCCTGTGTACACAATTTCGTTCCACCACATGTACCACATATGATGCGAATGACAATAAAGAACCTTGACCTTGATTATTAATCAGAGTTAAGTGGCTCAACAGACAAATAAACAAACCTACAAGTGGTCAGGTACTAACAAAAAGTATATTTTTAAAATAAGGTAAATAATAATATTTTGAAAAAAGTAAAGATCTTCATGAAGCCCAGAAACAAATTGTAGTTATTAGATGCAAATGTAAAAAGTAAGACACATCAACATTTTTTTGCAATACTAATTCATATTACATATATAATATGTAATTCTGTAATAAGTGTAGAACTAGACTGAGGAACAGCTTCTACCCTGAAGCTGTTAAGACTCATAAATCTCTAACCAGAAAAATCACAGTAATGTCACTTTAATTGGAGATTTGTCACTTTATCCATGCTGCTGATTTCTTACCCATAAGCTGTTGTATTCATACCCATCTGCTCACAACAGACTCATGTTCAGGCTGCTGTTTAATACACTATATTATATTATTATTGTTTAGCGTATATCTTAGATCCTCGTTTACTTTTTAAAAAAATACTTCATGACTTGGCTATTTTTGGGTGTAACTGGGACCTTGAGTACACAATTTCGTTCCACCTCATGTACCACATGTGAAGCAAATGACAATAAAGGATCTTGAACCTAATTCTTTTGGAAGTTTTTATTATTTATCTTGGCAGAAACACTCAAGTTGGATCAGATCTCCATATTTTTAGCATGATTATTAAAATGGGCTGTTGGATCAGTCCACCTGTGGTTTCCTGACAACGTGCTCTAAGTTGCTGGTTAAATGTGAACGGTCAGCTCAGTAATCCTGAAACGTTGCATTCAGGGTACCTTTTGTATTCACTTTATTCTGATTGGTCCCCTAGCTTTTGTCACATAAAAACGCAACGTTTGATTGAGAGGCGATGAGCTCAACGACAAGGTGATCATCAGGTACTTATTTACTCCACATCTGGAATCTTTGTTTTTCTTATTCCAAGTTATTTCTGGTGTTTTTATCGCAGCATGCTGTCTGATAAACTTTACTGATTTCTTTGTTTTACCCCTCTAGTATTAAACTGACGTGCTCGTGATGATTGTCCCTCGAGTCTGCACAAAAAATCCTCAATATCTTTAAGTGATTTTTATTAACTCGTTGGCATCAGCCCCTCCATCCTCCATTACTCAAGAATGGAGACAAATGCTGCTGTGCATTGAAGTGCACAGACTCAAATCTGATCTGAGTCTGGACATCTTCTCATTTATGTTTTTTATATCTATTACAGATTTCATAAAGTACTTCATGTCAACAGATTATCATGAGCAGCTGTATAAATTATATGAATCAGCAGTAAATACCAACACAAGTCTTTTTTTTGGTCTTCTTAGGAAATAACACATCTGGAGTTTCTTTATCAACTAAATAGCTCTTACATTTGTAAAAGTAAATGATTAAACTTGAAGGTTTTAGATCACGTGTCAAAACTCAAGACCCGCGGGCCAAATGTGGCCCTCGTTGACATTTTTTCTGGCCCCCAAGATGTTAACTTAAATGTAAAATACCATTATCTTTTATTTCCCAGTAATCTTTGATTATGATGTCAAAAGTGCAACAGAGAACATCAAATGAGACCAATCAAACTCTTACTGAGGAACCTGCAAGAAAAGATGTTGGGTATCTAACTCGAGTTAATGTAGATTCTAAAACCAGCCCTTAGTTTGAAAAAGGTTTTAATTTTGGCCCTTTTATAAAGTGTTTGACAGTTTTAGATGGTCTGACATTGTTATAACTTATTTGTCCACTAGAGGGCAGCAAAAACAAACTTTCATATCAAGTAAACATCCATCCATCATCTTTACCTGCTTCTTTCTTTCCTGGTCACAGGTGCCCTTAAAAAATAAAATGTTCTCAGTTTCATCACAAAATAGTCTGGACTAAACTCAACTAATTGCTCAACTCTAACTTTTGCATCGTAGTTAGGATTAGAACAGGTCTCAGATTAAACAGGTCTCTCTTGTAAATGAGTCCTCGAGGCTCAATGAGACTAACCTGTAGAAATAAAGGTTGGATGAAAATGATTAGGACAAAAACACAGATTAAACAGCAAAGACTTGTTTGTTTTATTTATGCTATCTTTATTTCACATTATTGTACACAATAAATACAAACATCCATTGGTGTGTAAATTTGACGCTCTGCAGCTTCTGCAGAGCTGAAACGAAATGTGGGCGTTTATTCACTGAACTTCAGCTTCGGACCCGACGTGGAACCAGGACCAGTAAGCAGGTTAACAACTTCTCTGATGACAAAGAGACTTCAGTTCTTTTAATACAACAGGGTAAATGCAAACTTCAAAAATAAGTTTGATGTCAATTAGATCTCAAGGAGATCAACGAGAACAGCAGCGAGGCTGACAGATATCTCTCTGATCAAACTGAACTACGGTTTTTACAAGGTTTTATTCTAATGCTAATTAAAAAAAAAAAGAAATACTAATAATTGTACAGATATCCATCTCCAAGCTCTCTGTAAACTATCAACACGTCAAAAACAATAAGATCAAAAAGTCAGACTCTTAAAGACACTACGGTGGCTAATAAAGGCTAAATAACACGAGCTGATAAAAGTATTTATATCAATACAGCTGGTAAACATCAACAATACTGAAAGGGAATAAAAAGACATTAAAAGTGCTTCACTATGACAGTATAGGTTTGACGTAGGGCAGCTAGCAGCTCGGATGGTTTCCTCCTTAAGGTGTTTCAAACTGCACGACTTTAGTGTGAACCGACACCGAACCAGCAGCCGATCCCGGCATCATTAGTGTCATAAAAACATGTCAATCTGTTCGTTACAACACAGAAACAACAAAAACTTGGACTACATGTGTAAATACTAAGATCTTTAACTGATTCTAAACATGCGGAGCGAAGAAAACTAACGTAGAGAAGGCGAACAGCGAAACCGTAAAAGGTCCGTTATTAGAAACGAGAACCCGACAGAACTATTAGAACTAGAATTGCCACTTTTCCCTTGTTTGTGTAACTGTTTGCAGTTACGGCGGAGAGGACCAGCCTCGCCCGCGCTGGAGCCGGGGTCCAACGTGGACACTTCTCACCGGTGTCGGAGCAACGTGGAGCTGCGACGCATACAGGTGACCCGAAACCTCAGGAGCGGGCCGAGCCGTCAGTTTTACTGATAATCAATCAATCGGCATGATTGGGAGAAACGGGCTTGAGTTCTGATGTCCAGAAACAAGTCGATCAGCGAGTGTTTCTGAGACAATTTAGACCAGTTAAAGGACCAGTTCAACATTTTAGAAAACCAGGTATTTGCTCTAAAGCAGGGCTATTCAACTAAACTGCTCAGGGGCCAGTTTCTGAAAACCAGCAGCTCAGGGGCCACAGTTTCTGAAAACCAGCAGCTCAGGGGCCACAGTTTCTGAAAACCAGCAGCTCAGGGGCCCGACATCCAGCGATTAAAGTCATTATGTACATAAACCAAAGTTTACAATGATCTGTTACCTTTAAAATTTATTTTATTGCATTGAATCATAAATGCATTAAACAGAACCAGAACCCACCCCCTACCCCCAAATAAATATATATAATTTTTTTAATAAAGTGGGCCAGATTGAAGTCATCTGTGGGCCAGAAATGGCCCGCCGGCCGCCAGTTGAATAGCCCTGCTCTAAAGTCATATTTTTATTTTCTGGAGAGGAAAATGAAGCCAAAAGGTGACGAGCTTTAACATCTAAAGACCGGTCTAAAAATTTAAATGCACCTATAATGCCCCTAAAATTCTTTAATTAGTCTGAAGTGAACAAAAAGAAATCCAACAAAGTTCATTCTGCTCCTCTGGACGGGTTCAACAGAAAACTGTAGAAACGTTTCTTCTTTCATTCGAAAGACTTCTTCAGTTTGAATACAGCTCCTCAGTCTAAAGAAGTATCTCAGATGAAACATTTCTACAATTCTTTTTGTTTTTTGAACCCATCCAGAGGACCAGACGGAAGTTTTTTTGGATTTTTCTACCTGGATTATTGAGCATCAGGAAACAAAAAGAAACGTTCTTGTCTTTTTAGATAAAATTTAACACGACGAGATGCTGGTGAAGATTCTCAGTCATCCAGGACGTGGTAAATCCAAATGAAGGTTAAAAACAAAACAACTGGACGTTATTTTGTAGCTGAAGACGTTTGGCTTCTCATCCGAGGAGCTTCGTCACTTCAAAGAACATCCTTGAACTGACGAAGCGAAACGTCTTCAGCTTCAAAATAAAAGTCCACTTGTTTTTAACCTTTTATTAGAAACACGATGAGATCAGCGTTGATTCTGATCCAAGTGAAGCTTTTAGATGTGCTGCAGGTCAGATTCTTCTTCTTGAGCTGCTTGCGAACACATTTTTTTAATTTATAAACTTTGTAAACATCTGGAGTCTAAAGGAACCTGAAGCTTAAACTCTGAGGGGCTTTCTGTGTTTAAACTGAACCTCCTGCACGTGTCGCAGCAACGCTCGGCTGAAAATACTCAAACAGTAAACAGAAGGTGTGCAGACCTTTTGTTTGTTTGTTAAAGAACCAGACTGTTCTCAGGAGTCCAGACTGGTGAAGTGAAACAGCCAGAACAAACACCAAAACACAAGAACATCATTCGTTTTTAGATTTGACGTTCGAGCAGCCCGACGTTCTTTGATCCTTTCACTGAGATCTGAATGAATACATTTTCAGCCTTTCTGAAAAGTTTTTCTCTGGAACAACTACCTGAACGTTTTCAGAGAAACGGTTTGTTAAGGCACTTAATTTGGACAAGGACAATTCCAGATACAACAAGCTCCTAGAGTCAGAGGATGAAGCAGAGCTGATCAACCCAACAGAACCAAACTCAAAGGAACCTCAGGCTCTGTTTAAACAGCAGCTTGTCACAAATACACAACTCCTTTTCATTTCTGTCATCTATAAAAAATACCAAACACCAACGGTGCTACTGGCTGGAAACATGATGGACATCCGGTCACTGACTGAAAGATGATGCAGCTCTCAGGTCTAAGCAGGATTTTTCCTCTGCTCCGTGATTTTCAGATACTGATCATGTGCCGACAAGTTTTTTTTTAAGACTTGGCACATCTTCTTTCCTCAATCAGCCGTTCAGTTTCCTGTTTGTTTAAACACAAACGTACGGACAGGGTCAGCTACAAAGACTGGACGGGACAGTTTAAAAAAAAGCAGCCACAGTCCAAAGAAAAACTTTGAAAGGCTTTCAGAAAGACTGAGATTATTCATTAAGATCAATTAAAAAACAAATTATGGGTCCTTTAAAAGGAAAATATGAATGAAATATGGCGTTTAAAACATTTGCCAGCTTCTGGAACGTTTTACTTCATGCACTGAAGGCGTGACGTGGTTTTGGACAGAATGAGCTCCATGTTTAGTCTTAAAGTTAAAATAATCACCTCCAAGGATCAAAATGGAGTTAAGAAGAATTTCTCAAAGTATGAAAGAAGTTGTGGAAATTAAACCATTATTCTGAGTTGATAATAAGCTAATGATTCCAGAGTTTACTTTTTTTCCTTAAGTTGTCACTTGATCTATTTTTAACACTCGAAGTGGATTTTTGATGGGACTGAACATGTTTTACGTCCAGACGGAGCAGCTGGCTGTTGGACCCTGTGATGATCGGCCACCAACGTTTGGTGGAGTGTGAGAAAAACTGAACAGGGACTAAAGTGATGAAGTCACAATGATCCTCCGCAGCACACGAGGTCTGAGCAAGGGGTCTCTCCTGCCCCAGGTGGCTGCAGGGGGACGTTTCCTGTATTTCCTCTGGGAACAAGTCTTCAGCCGGTCTCACACCAGCGTGATCTCCACCTCCTCCCGAGGCTTCACCTGCCCACGAGGATGCTGCTTCGGGGGCGGAGGAGCAGCTCGAACCTGCAAACATCCATCAACCATAACTCAGTTAAATGAACTGTTTAATATTCACACTACAGTAGTCCCAAGTTCATCGCCGGGGATCGGTCCCCTGAAGCCCCGCGGTAAGTGGAAAAAACAAATATTCTAAACAATGTTTCTAAACTCTAAACGCTCTAAAAGAGCGCAGCATGTCATGATCTCAGCTCTCTGCCTCGGCTGCTCTCTGCCTCGGCTGCTCTCTGCCTCGGCTGCTCTCTGCCACGGCTGCTCTCTGCTTCGGCTGCTCTCTGCCAGCGCTCTCGGCCACGCCCACTTCTCCTCTGCAGAGCTGAGATCCTGACACGCTGCAGTGTGGGCTGCACACTGGTGCAGCAGGTGCTAAATAATTTAAAATAACTTATTTTAAATAAATATTCCACCCCGATCGTGCAGCTCATCCATCAATCAGCCAACTGTGTGTCATGTCCACTCTTATTTTGAAAAACCGCAATAGAGCGAGTCTGCGAAGTAGCGAGGGACTACTTTATTGACACCATCGTGAGGTCAAACGTATACTTGCAGTTACTCACAGGTCGGATGGTGCCAGCTCCACCCTCGGGGTATTTAGGAGGTTGAGGAGACCCTTGTGCTGGACCTGAAGGGGGAGCAGCAGACTCGGATTATAATCCAAACAATGATCTGTTATTTCTGCACCTTCACTGCAGACAGCACAGCTTACTGTGATACGGGCTCTTGTGTGGAGTCGGAGGCGGCCGGAGGTGTCCGTTGTGGTAGGAGGGCAGTCGGCCGATGGGAGAGGCTGTGGCGCTGCAGGGGCTCGACCCGGGAGACGACGTCGTGGGGGTCTGAAGGGGGCTGCTGTGGAGAGGCACGGACTGAAAGGGACTGCAGGGGGAGCGGTCGCACTGCGCCAACGTAGAGGGAGACGCCTTGAACACAAACAACTAAAATAAATAATGTTTTGGAAATGCAAAACAAAACGAGGTTCTCGTTAGATTAAAAATAAAAATAAAGAGAATTCTGGGAAATACTAAAATATATTTTTTAAATCCCTTCAATGTGTATAAAAGAGAGTCAGAAATACTTTATTGTCATTCGCACCTCATGTGGTACATGTGGTGGAGCAACATTATGTACACAGGGTCCCAGTTACAGCCAACAATAAAATGTAAAAGAAAAACAATAACAACATCCAAGATATGAACTAAGAAAAAAAACAACAACAAAAAAAAACATCAACTAAAAATACACTAAGCACTAAGAGCACAAAAACATCACGTCGAACATCAGCACGAACATGAACATGAGTCTGTGTGAGCAGATGAGCACGCATGAACACATCAACATGAAACAGATCAGCAGCAACATGAAACAGATCAGCAGCAACATGATGTGATTTTTCACAGTGATTAGAGATTCATGAGTCTAACAGCCTCAGGGTAGAAGCTGTTCCTCAGTCTAGTGGTTCTACACTTAATACTCCTCAACCTCCTTCCTGAGGGGAGCGGGGCAAAAAGTGTGTGTGCTGGGTGAGTGAGGTCCTTCATGATGCAGGTGGCCCTCTTGCTGCATCTGGAGGTGTAGATGTCTGTGATGGTGGGGAGTCTGACAAAAAGGCACCAGAAACAGATTTTCCAGCGTTTTCTCTGAATCTGTGGAGTTTATATTTATTATTTTAAAGAATCACAGACCAATCTAAAATATAACTGAGCTTCCTGGACTCAATTTATCTCAATCTTTTTTCTTTATTAGCTGAATGAAAAAAAAAACTACATCAGTGATGACACTTTTTGTTGTTGTTGTAAAACTGTGTTGTTCTGAAAGTTTGCTACTGATGGAAAACAAACTGTAACCAAATTAATCTGTGTGTCAAAATGAATAAATACTGAGTCTGAACACATTCTGCAAGAAAAACAACAAGATAACTCAAAGATTTGGAGCCTCGGCTCAGTATCAACACCGAGGGCCATGTTTGAACAATGCTGCTTTACGCCTCACATTTATCATTTACAAACAAAAACCAGGAGCGGTAATCAGAAATGTTCAACAAGAACTGCGTTCTTTTGTATATCAACTATCAGCTTAGAGCAGAAAGTTACTACGCGTGAACCGTTAAAATAATAAAAAGTAGGAAAAGTTGCAGTTTCTGTAAAATGCAGAGAATGAGCTGAAATGTGTCTGAGAAGCTTAAACTGAGTTATTAAAGTTAAAACAAGCACAAAAGAACTAAAATATTGAGGAGTGGTGGTGCAGAGGTTAGAGAAGGTGGGCCGGTGATCGGAAGATCGCCGGTTCAAGCCCCGGTACCGACAACATCAAAAATGTGGGTGGGGTTGGTGAAGCACCCACAGCTGCCCCCACCCTCATTCGCCCCACTCTGGGCCCCTGAGCAAGGCCCTTAACCCCCATATGCTCCCTAAAACAGGTCTCTCTTGAAAATTAGTTCTCGTGGCTCAATGAGACTACCTGGATAAATAACGGCTAAAAAAAAATATATATATATATCGGCATAGTATCGGTATCGGCCGATATTAGCGTTAAATTTCAATATCGGACATTCCATTAAAATAACGCGCCGATATAAAAGGCGCTGTTTTTGCCTGAAGTGGCAGCACAACGTGATGACATCATGTGCGCCTACCTGATCTCACGGCGGAGAGGAAAATTCAAAATGTCGGCGGTGTGGAAGTTTTATTTTTCGTTGGTGAGGATGTCGGATTCCAAAGATTTATGGACTACGTTGAGCTTTGCTACATCGTCCCCTGTTGGAGATATTTTTCCGACGTAACGTTACCCGAGTTACAAGCCGTCATTTCCGACGTCGTTGAGAAGCTAACAGCCGATAGCACTTGTGTGAGTTTTACCACAGACATTTGGACGCCGTATTAGCCTCGTTAGCCTCGTTAGTATGATTAGTCTTATGACACAATGGACAGACAAAAACTTTGAACTTATAAAAGTCTGGCCTTCATGCACAGGAGTGCAGAGGATCCCACACTGCAGCTATAGGAACCTGGAACAAACCTCCACAAGTGAGACAGCATCGCAGGTGACTAATGCTAATAAATAACATTGAACACTTTTAATTTAATATAAGTTAAAGTGCTATGCATATCATATGGCTGTTACTAAATATATGTCACCAGCTCTTACAGCTGTTGCACAATTTTTGTAGCAAATAAGCCTAAACAAGAGGGTTATGTTCTGACAAAGGAACGTATATTAAAAATATTGGTATCAGTTATCGGCCAAATTATTTTTAACATATCGGATATCGGCCAAAAATCCAATATCGTGCATCTCTAACGACAATAGTTAAAAGTGAAAGTAGCATAATAAAACAAACAGAGCAAGTTAAAGTAGATTTAAGGAGAACAATGTTTTTGAAGGAAGTGATGACATCAACATATTTCTATGGGTAATAAATAGTTCAAATTATATAAATAAATAAAATACTAAAACTAATGACACAATTTCAGATTGAGTTGACCTCTCTGATTAATGAATGAGTACAAAAGCACAAAGTCTGCAGTCACAGCAGCTTGACTGTAGAAAGAGGAAACTAGTTGTGTGAACACTGAACATGACGTTGAGTTCATGCAACGTGCGTGTTTTCAGTTGAACACACCTGCGCGCTGCCTTCTCTCTGTCCGTCTCCGTTCTCGCTGACGCCGGAGAGATCCTCCACCAGCACCGCAGGAAACACTCCAACGATGCCGTTAAACTCCCCCTCCCAGAAGCCGTCGTCCTCGTGGGTCTCTCTGCTCAGGATGCGAATGATGGCGCCTTCAGGAAACGACAGCTCTTCAGCCGTTTGTCCGGCGTAGTCGTACAAGGCCTTGGCAAAGGACACTGAGACGGAGAGGAGAGAGTTGGTGCTGCTCACGAAAACTTTATTTTTGTTTTATTTGCTTTTGTTGTGTAAAGCCGAGTCAGGAGGTGAGAAACAAACGTCCCTCGTCAGACTTTAGTTGAATTTATTCTCACCACTGGAGTCTCCGTTGGCGGAGCTGGTTTGGAGTTCAGTCTCGGGTTCGGTGGAGTTGCTGGAGGAATGAGATCGGGCGTCCAGCGCAGCCAAAGACTGCAGCATGCTCAGTAAACTGTTGGAGGAGGGCAGCTGCAGGTATTTCTCCGGGACATAACCAACCTGCCCGCTGCGGTTTCTGGCCTGGAAATCAAAACATCACACAAACTGTGAGGACTGATGGAAACATTTTATGGGAAGTGGTAGATCGAGTCTCCAGATCCACTTCCACGTGTTTCAACTGCAGGAGGAAAGAGAAAAACAGAGTTCATGAGAGAAACAGCCGGGGTGGGGAGGCCGTACGGTTGAAATAATCATGAACCTTTGTGCTTTGAGAGCTAAATATTTCTCATGGGTCTGGTCTTTTAAGGGTTTTATTTCTTCTTTTTATCCGAGTGATTTGTAATTTTTAATGTGTCATATTCATATAAAACAGAATATTATTATTTTATTGTTAATGTCAGTCTTCAAGCAGGTTTTGTAATTCTGTACACATTTTATTTAGAGGCAGACGGAGCAGAAATGGCTGTTTGGAGTGTAAAAGTTGCAGATCCCCGTCTGAAAATGAGAGGAAACGTGTCGTACCTTGACCCAGTCCTCCATGTCTCCGTCATCAATGACCTCCAGGATCTCCTGCTCCTCGATGGTGAGTTCATCTGGCTGAGACGCCTGCAAACAACGAAGCTGGTTTGTTTGTTTGTTTGAAGCACAAATGCAAATAAAAGTTCAGAGAAAAACAATCCGGATCAAGTTCACGTTCAGCTCGGTTCCACCCGTTACCTTGTAGGAGTAAAGCACTTTGCAGGTGAGTGGATAGTTTTTCAAGGTGCTGGAGGGGCTGGAGCTGCTGTCGTCCAGCACCTCCCCACTGTCCTCCATCTCCTCCTCATCCTCTCGCTCCAAATCTGCTGTTCCCTAAAAGAACAAAGACAAATCTTGTAATTCAACCAGAACCAACCAGATCTACAAAATGTTGTGTTCTACTTTCTGCTACGTTTGAACCCTTCAGTTCATTAGGGTCTTACGGAGAGTGAAGGATCGTGGGTACTGAGGTTGTTCCAGCGTTCGTTCTCCAGCTCCTCCATCACCTGGTTCATGGCACTCTTCAGCCATGTTTCCACAGCGACTCCTGCCTGCCTCAGCTGGTCCAGACGGGCCTCGGCTTTCACTTTAACCGTCTGCAAATAAAGAATAAATAAATGTTCATCTGAACCTGAATGTTACTGGAAAAGGCTCAAGTTTCTTCACATAAATCCACCAACATGTTCACTGGGTTAAAGCTCGGATGGAAGAAGAAACACCCAGAATGAGACGGACACTGTTTCTGGTGACATCAACCTCAAGCGAACTGATGGTCCTGTTCGTTTGTGGTGACGTAACCGTTTCCTCTTGTGGTTATTTTCTTTTCCTGTTAATGTTTTTCTGTTGAAACAGATTCAGATTTCCCTGCAGTGCAGTGCAGCACATTAAGCTGTTGATGTGGCGTTTCATCTTTCTGACCAGCAGGTGGCGAACTGAAGCCGCCTCACGTAAACGAGCTGTCGGGAGTAAACAGAGGGTTCGCGTTACCTCGGCCCGCCGAAGACTCTGCCTCGCCACCTCCATCTTGGTCTCGAGGTCACCGTTCTGCTCCAACGCCTCCTGAGCCCCGTACTCCTCTAAGGCCTAACAGCAAAACACAAACAAACAGCTGTCATCCAGTCCGGTGAGTAAACAAAGACACAGGGGGTGGATGGAAACTGTCCAAAACTCAAGTCAATATGTGAGGACATTCGACTGAAGTTTCCTGGAAACTATTTCTTGTTTTAAAGGAAACAGTTTGATCAGTGTGTGATGAAAACATGACGGATCTCACCTCGACTTCGACGTTAAATCAGAAAGGAAGGTTCAGCGATGAGCATATGGCCCGTTTTGTTGCTTCAACACTTTTTATCTTTTACAGGATGACTTTATATCTGACCGATGTCTTACTGTTGTCTAACAAACGGTAAAGAGAATAATTCTAGCTTCATATTCATGGACAAACACTTCACAGTGACCGTGGAGGGACTGGTGGGCAGGCAAAATGTGGCATCACCATCTTGGACCTTAAATTCATACACCTAGCTGCACTGAGACAAACGTTACAGAGATTAATTTCTTGCATCAATTAAAGTCATAAAAATAAAATCTTTAAACTAAAACCATTCCCATTAATTGATGGTTTTTTAGAAACAGCTAATGGCTAATCTGGAAAACTTTAATGGTTCAAATTCTGAAAAATGTAAAGTAAAAGAAACCAGAAGACTCAAACAGAGCAGCTGTGTAACAAACGGTTCAGAGCTGCTGCTGCAGAACTGACAAAAACTCCAAGAAACTTTAAACAAGTCCATTTTAAGTGATTTACGTTCCACTTTCAACTTATAGTAAATGTCTAAACATTCGTTTAACACCTACCGTCAAATTTTACTGGGGTTGAGGATTTTACATGAAATGTTTATTAAAATATGAAAAAAAAAAAAAGATGATCTAAGCTTTGTTTTTAAAACAAAACTTTATTTGTAAGTTGTGAGGCTCAAGGTCCCGTTACATCCAACAATAGCAAAAACATAAAGTATAAAAATAAACAGTAGACAAGGATCTAAGACGATGTCTAATTTTATACACAAAATTTGTGAAGTTGATCATTTTTATTGAATATTTAAATCTTTAACAGAGATTTAGTTTCCACATGGACAGCTGCAATTTTTTGTGCATCAAACTTGAAAAGCTGTGATTAAATTTGTTGCAGAAATATTGTTTCCTGCATTACAGTTAATGTTTGTAATAAAGTACATCTCAGATGGAAATTAGGATTAACAGATTATGACCTTATTTACAAGCTTCTGCACACCTTCTCAGAGAATCATATTGTGGTTATTTGTGGTTACACACCTTTTGTGTGTGGATGATGCTCTTGTACTCCCGGGCCACCCGGCTCGCCCACTTCCTCGCTTCCTTATCCAAGTTGTGTTCTTCCGCTGTTCCACTTTCTCTCTGCAGCTGCATCACCTGAAACAAATAAAAAGCAACAATACGTACTTCAAAATGGTGAAATTAAGGACGTATTAACAAATTCCTAAAAAGAGTCTTCTCCTACTCCGCTCCCGTTTCCTGGAAATCTTGCAAAAAAATCTGAAGCTCTCGACCGTGACCTCTCTAAGTAACTTTAAACATCTGTTAAGTTCCTGGCAAAAACCAATGCAGACAGGTTCCTGTTTTTAGTTTTCTATACCACCTTACTCTTGCTGTTTTTTTGCTACTTTTCCTTTTAATTACCATTTTATTTTCACTTGTTAAATAAATTATAATTTGTCAGCATCCTTTATGATCATCTATTGTTGTCGTTGATGTCCACTGTTGTCATCACTCTTTGTTGAAATTCAGGTCTCTCTTGTAAATGAGCCCCTGAGACTCAATGGGATGAACCTGTATAAATAAAGGTTGAATGAATGAATTAGGGGTAAAAAGGCCATCTCACTTGTTCAAAAGTTCAACCTGATCAGTAAAGCTAAATAAAGCTTCAGTCCAGTAGAGGGCGCTGCTGCACACAAATGAAAAGCCACCAGTTTTGGTTCCAGTCAGCTCAACCAGCAGATCACTGACTGCAGTTTCTCAGTGTGGAAAACAAACGGAGCCAATCACAACTCTGTGAACAAAATCAACAGCAATAACCCTCGTCTTGGGCCAAAGCTAAAAAAATATTCAGACACGTGAGTTAACGTTGATGAAGTCAACACGTCACAAGATTTGAAGCTGCGACGAGCATCAGATGTCAGAAGGTTTCGGATTCGACTCGGTTCTTAATTAAATTTAGAATAAATGTTCTAAATTTGACTTTACTAGTTTCCACATGACATCAGCGTTGTGTCTGTGTGTGTGTCGAGGGAAGAGGCCGGGGGGTGGAGGGTGGGGGTCGCTGAGGTCAGTGCACCCTGATGATGCGCGCTCACAAAGCCTCCTTTTCACAGATGGCCCGCTCACAGGACCGGGCCGGCCTTCTGCACCTCCCTCTCAGTTCAGCTCCACTCCTTACCGGATCCCTCTGTCTGGTGCGAGCGGTGTCGGAGGAGGAGGAGGAGGGAGGAGGCTCTACCACTAATGTTTTCATTAGGAACAGGCTGCAGCTTGTTTGACTTCCAATCAAAACAACGCAAGCATTTGCAGTTTGAACAAATTGTCCAGTGTTGACCGACGGAGCCGAGGCCGAGGAGAGAGGGACCGGACTCTGCTGCGTTAGATCCACCAACAGGAGCCGTCACAAATCAACGACACGTTTCAAAAGCAACTCAAAGGCCGATCGGTAAAATAGTTCTGCACTCATGTTTGCTGAAGAATCAAAGCAATCCAATAATAGTCCGTTGAGGAAGAAGATAGTTTAAAATAGATTCCAGGCCACAAGGGCATGCTGAGACTTCTTGAACAGGTGTCACTGAGACCAGACTGCACCTGAGGTGGTGCTTACTCATCAGGTGGGATAAAACGGAGTCAAACGTCGGACCCTGCCCACAAATCTCCTTCACCTGTCCACAGCAGGACTGAAATACGATCCTGACACTCAGCTTTAACGGATTTGATCACAACGTTTAAAAACATCAGATGGGGAAAAAGAAAACCAGCCGAGCAGAAAAAAAAACAACTTCCTTTAAATAGCTGAATCATTTTCCTAACTGTGTTGCAACAATCACAGAGCAAACAGCAACAGTTACTCGTGCAGTTTATTTAGTTTACTCGTGGGACATTTGCCCAACATCAAACGATGCACTAAGTTGAGCAATCTGTTGGCTGTGCATTCAAACAGAAGTAAATCAGTCCCTCCATGTATGTAATCCAACACAGACAAGACATTTATTATTAGATTACCAGATTGTGGACGTTCAGTAAACTGTGCTGCTCTGTAAGAGGTCGTTGTTTGGATTTCTGTCAAAGCTCGGTCATGAGCAGAAATTATATTTAAACACTGCAGATGTTAATCTGTGCATACCAAGAAGATGAAAGTATAACTTTACGAGGCCGGCCCCACGGGAACAGTTTACACACAAAGTTTTTTTTTTTTTTAATCTTTTCATTTTTTGTCCTCATGGTTCGTGGTATTTTTTTGAAAAAGCTGCCCTTGTGCTTTTTGTAGACGGACAAATGGAAACGTTTTGAAAATGATGATGTCATATCCCAAATCTAACACACTACATTTTATTTATTTGACCTTTATTTAACCAAGTTAGTCAACTGAGAACAAATTCTCATTTTCAATGACAGCAAGTACAGAAGTGGTAAGACAGCAGAAAAATAATATACAGTAGTCCCTCAGTATATATCACTATATCGCAGGTTTTTTTAAAACCCAGGTTTTTATATTGTGTGTACTGTACATTCATCTCATTGTGATTGCCAAAGTGTTTAAGAGCATATCAAGTGTTTATAAGAGAGAGGGAAAGGTTGATAACAGTGTGGGAAGGGTTTATAAAGCCTTAAATATATATAAATAATATAAGTATAACGTTGCTACTTTGCGTATTTTCACCTACCGCAGGGGTCTCTGGAACAGAACGCCTGCGGTAGGTGAGGGATCACTGTATAAACAACCGACAACCAAACGTCGACTCATACAGACCACACGTATGTATAACAATAAAAGAGCTCACAGGTCCATGGTAGTAGACTGAAACAACACAAAGTGGAACGGAGATTGCTAACAGTGTGTGCAACGATCATGAAGTGATGCTCTCACTGAACTTTTAAAAGATGCAAACCTCACTACATGAGGACGTCCTCTTCCTCCTGTTGTGTTAACATTTCGTACCCAGCTTCTAAGATTTATGCTCCACGCCTTGTTTCCTGTTTTTGGGGTATTTCAATGCAGACACAGCGCCACATACAGGCCTAGTATAATTACTACAACGCTTTAGATAATTTCCAGTTAGGGTTCTCATGTGAATGACACATTTCTAGAAATGGTGCCGTGTTTATGAGGATATTTTTAGAAACAAATATTTTTTTAAATTGTGTTTACTTGACAGGACTTAGACCCAAAAGCCTCCCATCAATAAGAAAGAGCAGCTGTAATTCTGCTTTTGTTAGTTATGCTTATTGCTTTGAGCTTAAAGTAGGACAATAATATGCTTCGTTCAACCTACGATTATTTGCCAAAGAAGATTAATGTCATTCAACAGGTGCATTGCATTTTATGGATACCACAGTGGATACATGCAACAGTAACAACAATGCAAAGAAAACCAACAGAAGGAGAACAAGTCGCATATTTAACCAGGAAATCAAACCAATTTGTATTTTCTTGTCTTTTTATTGGAGCTATTTATTTATTTATATAAGTCAGGAAGACATGAAAATTAAGAATCTTTTATATTGGTTTGGTACTTGAAGATATTATTAAAGGAAGAACATGTGATGTAAGATGCTACCAAAAAGACATACGTGTGTTTACTGCTCAGTAACATTTAGGCCGAGGTTTTTTTTCTACTGGCAGCTGCAAACCAGTGATATACCAGCAGCTTACTTTGTGAAACCTGTCATTAGTGCTCAAGGGACAAATGTGAATAAAGATTTAACAGTTTAATTGTTGTGATTATCAAGCTGTAATGTGCCATGCTTTAGTTCTGTAGGTAAATGGACTGTACTTATACAGAACCTTTTTATCTAATCAAGACACTCAAAGTTCTTCAGCCAACAATCTGTGCCTCATTTACACATTCATACAGCACTCTACTAGGCCTCTACATGCTAAATGAACAAATCATTCTAAAGAGACTAATCAGTGCTTTATCACATTCATACACCGATGGGACACACATCAGAGGCTATGAGGGGTTCAGTGTCTTGCCCAAGGAGACTTCGGCATGTGACTGCTGGTGGATTTGAACCCCCGACTCTTGCATTGGACTGCTCTAACCACTCAGCCACAGCCGCCCTTTAGGTCTTCTGTTTTGAGATTTTTCTAATGAAATTATAAGAAAACTTGCAGTAAATCTATATTTCAAGACACAGCAGAGACATTCTTACTCATCTGTACATACTGGCTGTAACCATGACCGGTTTGTGGAGGAAACACAAACTAAATGAATATTTCTGTGAAAATAAAGTCAAACATTCCCAAGAATTCATCACAGAGTTATCACTTCAACAACAACTTGAAAAGGCTTCAGGCTGTGGTCGGATTGTTTTCCATCTAACGGCTCCCAGCTGCAGACGTCTACAAACATCTGTTTACAAAAGAAGTTCCAACATAAATTTGATCTCGTTAGTCCGTAAAAACATCTGTAACACAGAACCAGCTACACTCCTGTTGTTTGGATCCAGAACATTAGAGGGTCGTCATTAAAAGACTAAAAAATAGAAGCAACAGCAACACTCGTGTATTTTCAGTGTAATCACATTATTTGTTGTGAACAGGAACATTTCAGACTTCTAAAAACTGAGTTTTATAAACAGAGACTCCCCCTGAAGAGATTCCTGCAACATTTAAGACTTTGTCTTAATAGATGTTTTATTAATGAGTTTTAATGATTAGGTTTGATTTAACAGTTTTTTCAATGTGATATTGTGTCGACTGAATTATTGTGAGTTCGAGCAAACAGCTGCTGTCCTCCATGGAACAATGACCCAGATATGACCCTAAAGCCAAACTTTATTCTAAAACGTGTGCAGCGATTAGAGGTGGGACAGCTTACAGTCATTTTAGTTGTTACAAAAAAGAACAGACAGTTCTTATGAAATAAAAAAGTGCAATACTGACTAATTATAATGATTTACAACACCCAAACGATGACTTTAGAAAAAGAGTTTAATTTATTTTAATAAAGCCTTTTTCACAGAAGCACAGATTGCCATTAATCTAGCAGCTACTGAATATAACAATGTGTGGATTATCAGCCCTCAGGTGTTTTTCCATAACAGGTATGTAATGGAAATCTGACCAGCTCAGACGTAACGTATGCCTCTCACTTTCAACAAGACGAGGTCCGATCAGATGTTTCAACAGATCGTGTTTACATCAAAAAATCACAAGCATCACTCGCGCAACATTCCCCTTTCATAATTATAATAATAATTAGCTTCAGCACTTGTACTTTTTTATTCAGTTTAGAAAGAAAAAATCAGTTGACTAAAAGAGTTCCTCCTGCAGATGAGACTCTGCTCCATCAGATCATGTTTTAATGTTTTCAGCTGGTATTTGAACACAACACAAAATTATTGACTTATAATATGAACATTTATGGTAAAATGAGAAAACGAAGAGAACAAAGCAGACCTGCAGCGTTCTGAAGACAGGTTATAAAATAATGATTGTAAATGAATATGTTGATTTCCAATCACAATACATGAATGAGATTTTTAAACTTTGTTGAATTAGATTCTGAATCTGTTCAGTTGGACCAACATGTTTTAAACATTTGGTTTTAGTCAGACTGAAACAAAATTGAAATAAATTAAATAAATTTGTTCTCTAGAGTGAGGTTTACTTAATGCACTAGATTAAAAAATAATAAAATCTTAATTTTCAAAAGGGTACTATGCTGCAGTTTTATTCAATGAAGTATTAAATTCAAAAATGTATTTTATTTGGTAAATATGTAAGCCCTATGCTGTTGGTGGGAATGACCGCAGCGGAGCTGAAATAAAAATGCACATTTGCATTAAATACATCTGGGACTTTAATATTCTCTCAGAACTAACGAAAACATGGCAGCATGTGATTTTTGCATAAATCCAGGTCAGAAAATTAAAAGTTCTGTGATTTACCGTATCCGAGTCGATGGGCTGGTACAGGAAGCCTGAAGGTTGCTGAAACAGGAGGTTCTTCTGCACAAACATCTGCTGGTGAAACTCCTGAAGGACCTGCAGGTGGATTTAAAATGAAAGTGTCAATAAACTTAGTTTGAACAAAATCCATCATCAGTCAGCAGCTTCAGATACATAAAGGTGTATCTGGGTCCGTCTATGCACGTCATAAGATTTATGAAACTTTCATTTAGCCAAATTACAACGTCACATTACACACAAAGTTTCTGTGCCAAAGCATGAAGCATACAGTCTGAAATGTGAGCTACTCTTGCAGCTTCTTTTTCTAAACATTTGTTCTTATCCTGACTGCAGCAGAAACAAAATGTCTCCTTGGGTCCAGAAGAAGAAGTTGACCTGAAGAATCTTGAGTGTCTACAGCGACTCACACCAGTCAGGCTGAAACTGAAGCAGTGCTGCACCAAATTATATTTACTTCATTACAAGATTTTTATTATTAGGGGTCATGATCCAGCTCAGTTTTAAGCAAAGTGGAAATGTGACTACATGGAGACAAAAGTATTCATGTGAAAATGAAACGACTGCTTTGATCAAAAATGTTTGACTGCCTTCCTCCACAGTAAAGTGTGTGTGATCATGTCTCTTTGTGTGTTCGTCTATTTAGCAAAACATCTCATGAATCACTGGACGGGTTTTAATGAAACTCTCAGGAAGTAAATACTGACTTTAAACCTACAAATGGTGACCTTCTGCACTTGAACTGATTCAAGACGGTCGTCTATTCAAGCTGTTCAACCTCAGCAAACACAAAAATGATTATAACCCAATTATTTTTAGATATTGAGCTAAAGTTTGCTGTGGTAGTAGCTGAAAGTCACCCCATCACATACTCTGAGCACTAACAGATCAGACATCTCTATTTAAATTTTGGGCCTTAAGGCAGCAGGCAATATGCTTTTCTTTAAGGAAATTGTTTTTATAATTCAATATAAAAGGAACAGTTCTTGGTTGAATAAAGTAAAAAAAAATAAAAAAATTTACAGCATGTAAAAGTAAAATACAGTAAATAATTCACCAAAGTTCTTGTTGAATCAGTGACAATCCAATAAAAAACACCAATTTAAGTTGTAAATTTAAGTATAATCACAAAAAAACTACACACCAATAAAAACTGAATTCAACAGCAACAAAACTTTCAGACTAAACCTGTCAAACACATTATTATCATTACTCTCCTTATCAGTGACATATTTTATCAAACTAAAGTAAACCACTTATAAGACTGACCTCCGTTTTGTTTTGAACAAAGTAGCAAGTTTAGATTATTTTCATCAAAAAGACAAACCTTTTTATATCTGCCACTCGTTCATCCCTAAACATCGATTCAGTCTTTTAATAAAAATAGATTAAGTGAAAGTAAAGCAACATTAAAGATAAACGGTTATCTTTGGTCTTACAGAATATCCTTGACCTTTGACCGTCAGCTCCATGTTGCCTTACACCTACGCTACTCTTTATAGTTTCTTTTTAAGCATACTTTATTAAGGTTTATGTTAAAACGACAACATTAAAAAAAAATCAGCAAACAAAATATAAAACTAGCCTCTCCGAGTGTAATGAGCAAACAAATATTTCAAGGTGAAATAATCCTGATGCATGCTGGTGAAATAATGTTTCTTAGACTTTATATTTAGGTTGTGGCTCAGGCATGTGCTGGCAGCGTTAGCGCTCGTGTAAACACAGAGAAAGAACAGGACCCGACAGGATTCAAGTCCTGCTTTTCAGACTCACCCCGTTGGTGCTGCTCAGGATCTGGTTGAAAGTGTTGTGCGCGGCCTGGTACATTTCCAGTTCGGTCTGACAAAGTGAAGCCAGGTAATCTTTTACCTGCTCGTAGATCTTGCCATCTAAAGTCTGCAGACGTGAGCAGAAAAAAAAACACTTAACTCCACAGGTCGCGCTCCCTCCGCCCGCCTCCTGTTCGGACCCGTGTCCTCACCTTGATGCAGTCCGTCAGGTCAGTAGTGTAGTACCGCTGCAGGTGAGCGTTAGCAGCTGCTAGGGTCAGAAGGTAGTCGTTTCTGGCGTGGGTCGCTTTAGAGTTGCACTCGCTCCTCTTGGCTTTCAGCTGGAATGAAACGGTAAACACAGTTTGAAGACTAAATCAACAAAACGTTGCTGAAGATACAGCAGGTGTTTTATTAATACCTTTAATGTGGCTCTGTGGAGACTTGACCTGGACTGGAAGAGACTGAGTTTGGACCTGAAAAATAAACAACTCATTAAATATACAATCATTTAAACAGAAAAACTACTTTTAAATTTGTGTGGTTTTGTTTGTGGTTCAGTTAGTAGAGCTGTCGCCTCTCAGCGAGCAGGTCGCCGGTTCAAATCCCGGCCTTTCTGGGTGGAGTTTGCAAGTTCTCTCTGTGCTGCGTGGGTTTTCTCCCACAAACATGCAAGTTAGGCTGATTGGTAACTCTAAATATGTCCCTAGGTGAGAGAGAGCGAGTGAATGGTTGTCTCGTTTGTCTCTGTGTCCCTGTGATGGACTGGAGACCTGTCCAGGGTGTCTCCCACCTCTCACACAGTGACGGTTGGACAAGGGCACCAATAACCCCCGTGACCCGTAAAGGAAGAAGTTGGTAAAGACGATGGATGGATGTAATATTACTTATAATTAAGCAGATTGAATTTAATTAAGAAAGCATAATTTTGAACAACTACCTGAAAATGAGCCGTTTCAAGCTTATAATGATACTTTAAATTAAAAAAATGTCCAAAATCTTGAGGAACTCAGAAGAAATCCAGATCAAGACCACTTTAAATAATATAAACAAATATTTCCATTCATGCAGTTTAAAGCTGGTGAATCGTTGACAACTATGTCAAGTTAAAACAAATTGTTACATAACGTAATTTCTTTTCTGACAAAGAAAAAAGTTTGCAGGTCTAATAAAACTTTAAATAGGGTTTCATGAAGAATTCAGAAAAAGGAAGTTTATAGTAATTTTTTTGGAGGTGGTCTACTTCATTTTTAATTTTTTTTTTAATTAACGTTGATTTCACCACACAGACCAGACAGCAAACTGCTAAAACATCAGTTTTATAAAGGTTGAAATGACACAAGAGAACAATCCATTAAACGTTTATTGAATTAGGAGATCCAGGCCTCCAATGACCTTTTTATATAATAGTAAAAAGATGTGCTTTTATTGTGACAGTGTTATGTTCTTATACGTGATTCCAGCCAGCGGGGCTAATTGGCACAAAAACCTGTGAGTGTTTGAGGGGAACAAACCCGACCCGACTTGAGTCGCTGTCAATCAAACCTGTTTGAATTTCTGGAGCTGAAACTCATCTGGTCGTGTGAACTCGTTACTGACTCAAGTGCAGATTGTGTTGCCAACAGCCGATGGAAACGAGAAGGTGGAATGCAGGAAGTAACGTCAGAGGAGCCGATAGCTGCAGTGCAGTTTGTTGAGACCAGTCCGCTACGGTTACAAGTCAAACTTTGTAAACACAAAGTCTTTCAGTGCGCCCCCAGCTCAAGTTAATAACGGACTACTGTTAGTAAAACACCAAATTTAGCATTTCATGACTGTTTTTATTCATTTTAAACCATTTTGTTTAGAAAGGCAGTATGTTTTTGTATACAGCGAAGGTTCGTCCAGCTTTTAATCCTTTCTGAAGCAAGCTGTGCTCTGCTTTTTATAAACCTTCCTGATGGCAGAAAAATGTCTGAAATGCGGTGAGACAAAGTGCCAGCTGTTGACGCTGTGCCAGGACAAAGAGTCGAGGGGCAGCGTTCTCGGGTGAGCCAACAAGTCTGAGTGAGTTTTCATGAAGCATCAGTTTCTTTCTCTTCAATATAAACGTGTTTCTTAAGGTATGTTCAAAGTTTAGTACTCTGAAGTTCATTATCTGTCCTTAAATTACTTTAAATCTAAACTTATTTCTGTAATTGTGAGCAAAATTATATAAAAACTGCCTGAAATTATTTATTCAACGCAAGAATGACTCAATATTAATAAAAAATTGCATTTGACCACTGGTGAAATGCTCACTGTCTTCAAGCTGGCTACTAAAACAAATAAAATAGCAGTAAGTCTTAATTTTGACTCATTCTCCCTCCTTCAGGATCAGAGTTTCATCCCTCGTGTGCACGAAGCACAGCTGGAAATTAAAGGAAATGGCTCCTGCTGTGCGTCAGTAAATCAAATTAAAGGTCAAAAATGTGCATCAAAGCCGAAATGTTATAAAAACGAATACCATATCTGACAAACTATATTAGTCTTATACATTCTGGAAGAGATATTTAACTGGTAAATATAAAATTAAGATAAACTACCAACAGCAGTATGTTTTAATAAACCTCATTTTATCAAAGCAACAATGTAGAAATTACTAATATAAAACTCTGCATGATGTTAGACATAAAAATATAAAAATCTTACACATGAAAACATAAACTTGTTAAATATTTTGATTTTTTTTTAGACTGATCAAAGCAGCTGCTGGTTATTCTTCTGTTAATTGTGCAAAACTTTCTTTGGTTTAAGCTCAGTTTGACTGATCACGTTTGTTGTGATAATCAATGCATGTGTTCAGGGTGTTTCATTTTATTGGAATCTGTTGATAGACACTAAATGTGAATTTGTCCAAGTTTTATAAAGTTTTATTCAAACCAAATGTCTGTGAGGTCATATTTAACATGCACTGAATGCTCTTCTCTATGTATGTAAAGCGTATTGATGCACTCTTTTTTACAAGAAGAGATAAAGAGCAAACAGACTGGACTAAGAACACGTCCCTCTTTGTCTCTGGCTGCAGACACAGAGATAACGGAGTCTTTGGGGTCGTACTTGGTTTCGAGCTCGGTCTTCTCTCGGACAGCCTGCGCCATCGTCTCGGCCTCCTGGTACTTCTTCCTGCTCTTGGTCAGCTCCTTCACAGAGTCCTGCAGCTCAGCCTGGATCGCCGTCAGCTGATCGATGCACTGAAGACGAGCGACAAACAGAACTTTACATTCATGGAAATTAATATTCCAGCACCTGAGAAATATGCAAACGCCTTGCCTATAAAAAGACACCAGCCAAGTCCTGATATGATGACGTACAGGAAATGTAACGACATCATCCAGAGGCTGAGGACAAACAGGAGCTGCCCTGCAGTGGAGAGCAGCTCTTCTAATGTTTCTGAGTGACGTCTCCCACTGAATAATCAGGAAACAACCTGAACTTACAAACATTCGCTGCTGGACATTATAACCACTGAGTTCTTAACGATACGAAGGAATATTTTTCACAAATAAATCATTAATTGCAGTACTGTAGTAAACCTCCCTCTGGTCTGAGGAAGAATAAGTGAACATCCTCTTCTCAAACTTTATATGACGTTCATCGGGGAGTAATGCTCCATTTTACCTGTGTTCTAGTTCTGACTTTTACCATAATCAACACCTCATTAACCCTCTCTAAATGATTGTGTTCATGTTAGTTTACTGCTCTTTTTAAATGTCCACATCATAAAGAACAACTGTTAAACTGTCTGTGTGTGTGTGTGTGTGTGTGTGTGTGTGTGTGTGTGTGTGTGTGT